AGTTGTTTTATTTTTCCTGATGAAAGAAGAGGGCTAAAACTTTCATTTGGTAGGTTCCATGCTCATATAGCTACAGAACTCAATTTTCCGCAGGCCTTGAAAAATGCACAAAATGGCTGGCAAATCCCTCTCCTAATTTGAGAAAAACGGCTGCCATTAAATGAGTTCACTAACCAGTGATGTTGAGTCCTCAAAAGGCCTTGTGATGTTCTTCCTGAAAAGAAAATTCAAATTTTATCCACTGCAGGGAAAGTATCCCCTAGTTGTGAGCTACACCTGCAATTTTTCAGCTCCCTTTTCCGGCAGGCTGAATGCGCTGTGGCACCAGATTGCCTCTTTCAGGTGAGCCAGACACAGAAAGAAAGAGAGAGACTTACTTTTTGTACAGAACTGCATTGGGCTTTTTCAGGGAATACTGAAAGAGAAAAATAAAAGGGGTTTAAATGGATTCATACATTTCATTTGAATGACCTTCTTTGGGATAAAGTTAAAACGACGCAATTTTGTAACTGCGTTGTTGAAAAGCACAGTTCTAAACATCTACTTTTGAATGATTCCCGTAGTTGTGCACCGGTTCGATTGGCGAGGTTCTGTGACATCATGTGAATACGATCTACAGAATACACTTAAGTCTACAGCGGACAACATTTACTGTGCTCTGTTAAAAGTAATTGTGGTCAAAGACATCTGTGCTATTGCTTGATCGCTGAGGTAGCATCCGTTGCCTTACTATGTCTTTGAGGGCCTGGCTCACAGTTTGATTGGCATTGCCCCCTTTCATGATCATGGCACTCTTTCCATTCTCTGTCAGTTTGGGTGCTCTACTCTGCAGGAAGCGCTTGGAGCGCTTGGTCTTTGGTTTTCTAGGGACAGAAACACAGTCGGGAATTACAACATGATATGATGACACGTTTGCAGAAAATCCTTCACGTTTAATGAAGCCAAGAGGACTCTTTGAAAGGCCACCTCGATCCAAGTGAACACACCAGTAAGAGATTTGATGGATGGATATACAGTATATGACCACAAGGGACACGTCACGAGTACACTTGAAGAAACTTCGTATTTGTTCTATGTGAAACAAGTACGATCTTCACAGTCATTCTCTAACACACACTAGTAATATGTAAGTAAAATGCTTCAAGTGAAGTCATTTCCGTGACACTAATGTGCCATAATAACATAACTATGATACGATCCTGCAATTTGCTCTGCAGGTCATGTGTCACATAGCTAATTGTTTCAAGTTTTATTTGACAGGCACAAACACTCACTGTTGAAGTATACCGAAAAAAATAAAGTGATATAAAACTTACATGATACCGTCGGACTGCGTCATTGTCGTGTATTTCTTTGAGGTCCCGTTAAAGGCTCACGTTGCCGAACTTCCCACGCGCAGGAGAAGCACCGGAAGACAACACGAGTTGCTTTGTGGCGACAAAGTGGTTGTTAAATGGTGCTTCAAACGCAGTATCGCCGCCTAACGTCGAATGTTGGACCATGCAGGGACGGTCAAACGGATAATACCCAAATAAAGAGATCATAAAAGTATAATCCCTGATATAGTAATTGTGATATCGAATCACGCACAAATGTATTTACTCAATATGATAACTGGGCTTGTACAGTTTTTGGTTGCAAAGAAGAATGAATATAACAATTGAAGATACAAGGAGATCTTCCAACAGTTCAACTAACAAGTGGAAGAACATGTAATTGTTAATCCCTAAAAAAATAATTCCTGTGTTTGCACACTTTGGCCGTCTGCACCAGTGCGTATTACAGCGTTTTTGTTTTGATGGTTTTTTGGGGGGTTTTGGGGGCATTTTTTTCCCCTTTGTTTATTTGTTGACTTGCTGTTTCCAGCGTTCGGCCGTTTGCCACTTATCGGCCACCGTAGCTGTAAAATCCGAATCTCTTCCCGTCTAATGACGCATAGCACTCGAGCACCTATAGTGTCCACCAGGGGGCAGCTTGCGTTTAGGTCTTGGAATGTGTGCCACGTGACAGCCTCTCAGCCTGAGCCAAAGAATGCCTGCCGCTGGCATGAGACCAAAGGTCATGGAGTTATACCAATAATTGAGCTGAGCTGGTACTCCTTTTGGTTATTTTTCTCTTTTAGTATGTTAAAAATTGTGAAATCTTCACTTCTTTTATATTCACGTTGAACTTTCTCACAATTACCTAAAAAAGTAGTCCTTATGTTACTTAGTAGTGCAAGGACCTTGACTATATTCATTGGATTACAAACGGCATTAAAACTATAGAAGCTTAATTTTTTGCCGTTTATAGGTTACATTTACCTAACTTTTGCAGGTCCCTCATGCTATTCTTAGTGCAATGGGGGGGAGAAAAAAAACCCAACAGCGCACAGATGAGTATTTTTATTTTAGCATCAAGGTCATAGCACAGATAGATTTTAGCACATCTTGACCATCCAAATTGCAAAAAGGAATAAGAACAGCAAAGTTTCTCCCTCCACCCTGACACCTTGTATTAACAGCACCCACACTCCACAAACTGAAGAACTTTCCTTGGAATTTTAACTGGAAGATTAACAAAGGGAAGTCTATGATGCCGGTATGTCTATGTGGCAAAATGTGGAATCACTGTTACTTTCAAAACAAAATTGCCCAACCCTGTAGTGTGACAAAAATACGCACAGAAAAGTAACGAGTGAGTTCCTGGTAGCCAAAAATGCAATGACCCACTGCACTTAAGTCAGTGTTGAACAGAGCTGCTCTGCATGTAGGACCTCATTTGTGGGGAGAAAAGAGGTGGCGGCGGGTCTGCCGAGCTGAGGCGGTCAAGTAGTGCAGATGTTGGTCCTTGAGTTAATAATGAAACCACTCCAAAAGGCCATGACAGACAAACCAGCAAAAAAAAACTATACCAAGTGCCAGATCATTCATGCGCGATACAAGAGCAGAGTGGTGCTTGCGGGTCAATCCTTCCTCTGAAATTGTATCGTCTCCACCTTCTCAATTGAAAAAAGCCCCCGCAGCAGGTGGTGAGAAGCTACCTGCACTGAGCTCAAGCTAAAAGGAAGACTTGGATGGTGAGCGTGCGGCGGGAAGTACGCGGCTGCTGGCAAAACGGGGGCAAACTGATGAGGCTGCACGACATAGTCTAGCACTCGATCTCTAGTTACACGGACCGCTGGTTGATATGCCCCCCCCCCTCAACCCCAGAGCCCAAAGTTTAACAAAAGGGCATTGATGCAAACAAAAAGTGTGCAAGCCCAATTCACAGCAAAAAAAAAAAAAAAAAAGTCTGGGCACGAGATTTGTTCTATGTGAAACAAGTACGATCTTCACAGTCATTCTCTAACACACACTAGTAATATGTAAGTAAAATGCTTCAAGTGAAGTCATTTCCGTGACACTAATGTGCCATCATAACATAACTATGATACGATCCTGCAATTTGCTCTGCAGGTCATGTGTCACATAGCTAATTGTTTCAAGTTTTATTTGACAGGCACAAACACTCACTGTTGAAGTATACCGAAAAAAATAAAGTGATATAAAACTTACATGATACCGTCGGACTGCGTCATTGTCGTGTATTTCTTTGAGGTCCCGTTAAAGGCTCACGTTGCCGAACTTCCCACGCGCAGGAGAAGCACCGGAAGACAACACGAGTTGCTTTGTGGCGACAAAGTGGTTGTTAAATGGTGCTTCAAACGCAGTATCGCCGCCTAACGTCGAATGTTGGACCATGCAGGGACGGTCAAACGGATAATACCCAAATAAAGAGATCATAAAAGTATAATCCCTGATATAGTAATTGTGATATCGAATCACGCACAAATGTATTTACTCAATATGATAACTGGGCTTGTACAGTTTTTGGTTGCAAAGAAGAATGAATATAACAATTGAAGATACAAGGAGATCTTCCAACAGTTCAACTAACAAGTGGAAGAACATGTAATTGTTAATCCCTAAAAAAATAATTCCTGTGTTTGCACACTTTGGCCGTCTGCACCAGTGCGTATTACAGCGTTTTTGTTTTGATGGTTTTTTGGGGGGTTTTGGGGGCATTTTTTTCCCCTTTGTTTATTTGTTGACTTGCTGTTTCCAGCGTTCGGCCGTTTGCCACTTATCGGCCACCGTAGCTGTAAAATCCGAATCTCTTCCCGTCTAATGACGCATAGCACTCGAGCACCTATAGTGTCCACCAGGGGGCAGCTTGCGTTTAGGTCTTGGAATGTGTGCCACGTGACAGCCTCTCAGCCTGAGCCAAAGAATGCCTGCCGCTGGCATGAGACCAAAGGTCATGGAGTTATACCAATAATTGAGCTGAGCTGGTACTCCTTTTGGTTATTTTTCTCTTTTAGTATGTTAAAAATTGTGAAATCTTCACTTCTTTTATATTCACGTTGAACTTTCTCACAATTACCTAAAAAAGTAGTCCTTATGTTACTTAGTAGTGCAAGGACCTTGACTATATTCATTGGATTACAAACGGCATTAAAACTATAGAAGCTTAATTTTTTGCCGTTTATAGGTTACATTTACCTAACTTTTGCAGGTCCCTCATGCTATTCTTAGTGCAATGGGGGGGAGAAAAAAAACCCAACAGCGCACAGATGAGTATTTTTATTTTAGCATCAAGGTCATAGCACAGATAGATTTTAGCACATCTTGACCATCCAAATTGCAAAAAGGAATAAGAACAGCAAAGTTTCTCCCTCCACCCTGACACCTTGTATTAACAGCACCCACACTCCACAAACTGAAGAACTTTCCTTGGAATTTTAACTGGAAGATTAACAAAGGGAAGTCTATGATGCCGGTATGTCTATGTGGCAAAATGTGGAATCACTGTTACTTTCAAAACAAAATTGCCCAACCCTGTAGTGTGACAAAAATACGCACAGAAAAAACACGAGTGAGTTCCTGGTAGCCAAAAATGCAATGACCCACTGCACTTAAGTCAGTGTTGAAGAGCTGCTCTCTGCATGTAGGACCTCATTTGTGGGGAGAAAAGAGGTGGCGGCGGGTCTGCCGAGCTGAGGCGGTCAAGTAGTGCAGATGTTGGTCCTTGAGTTAATAATGAAACCACTCCAAAAGGCCATGACAGACAAACCAGCAAAAAAAAACTATACCAAGTGCCAGATCATTCATGCGCGATACAAGAGCAGAGTGGTGCTTGCGGGTCAATCCTTCCTCTGAAATTGTATCGTCTCCACCTTCTCAATTGAAAAAAGCCCCCGCAGCAGGTGGTGAGAAGCTACCTGCACTGAGCTCAAGCTAAAAGGAAGACTTGGATGGTGAGCGTGCGGCGGGAAGTACGGGGCTGCTGGCAAAACGGGGGCAAACTGGTGGGGCTGCACCACATAGTCTAGCACTCGATCTCTAGTTACACGGACCGCTGGTTGATATGCCCCCCCCCCTCAACCCCAGAGCCCAAAGTTTAACAAAAGGGCATTGATGCAAACAAAAAGTGTGCAAGCCCAATTCACAGCAAAAAAAAAAAAAAAAAAGTCTGGGCACGAGTAACGACATAAAATGGCAGATGGTGCAGTGGTTGGACGTGGAATGATCCGGGATGACCCTGGCATGCTCAGACTACTGGGCCTCGATTGTACGCTTACACATTTTTGTATGGGGCGGAAAGAGACAGAGGGGATGGATATTGTTAAGGGGAGAAAATGCTTTGCTGGGCAAGCAAAAAGTTTCTGATTCATGATGCCATGCCAGCTCACCTCCCTTCGAATTCTGGGGCCCACTGACTGGTCTGGCTGGCCGGCAAGGTAAGACCTTGCTGGGAAAGGGACAATAGACAGTCGGCAGAGGGCATTGTGCACGACGCACGGGAAAGTGGGGGGTGTGGGGGGGGGGGGCAGCGGCAGTATGCGCAGGCCTGAAGTCATACATTCAACTCAAAAGTGCACCAGGCTTTTCTCGACAAGACGTGTACATTCGAAAGATGACGTGGGCGAGACGGCGTCAGCAGCCCGGGCTACATTCCTTTTCCACGTGAATGAGAAACCAATATGACAGGAAGCTAAATGCTTCCTGTAGATACAGTATGGTGTTTATATTAAAAAAAAAGGTTCTCTTCACTGGCCATGAGTTAAATGCTGCAATTTTGTGGTTTGTACGCTTTATTTGAATTTGGATAATCAAAGTGATGACAACTTGATATTTCATGATGATTATTGAAATTGTCATGGCTTAATACAATTCGTACATTCAGAGAGATCAAAGGCCAGCTTTCATTTTCATATCATGGGTTAAACAAAACAAGTTGCTCTAAAGTGCACTCCTTTATGTATGATCCTCGCATCGGAACGCAAACGGTGGGTCGTATGAACGACTGAATGAAGGAAGACTCATCTGAGCATGTCAGGGGCGTGGACTTAATGCGGCCGGAAGCCCTGTCTGTGGGGGATGAGGGAGGAGACCTGCAGGTAGGGCCCTTTGGACCGCTCGCAGGTGGAAAGCCTCACATGGAGTGCGTTTGATTCCTCCGCATGCACTTCAAGATCACAGCAAGAGTGTGCTAGCATATCGAAACAGAGAAAAGAGCTTTCATGCAAGAAGTCTAAGTCACAGATACAACAACGCAAACAACTCCAACTGGAGGTTAAGCCGAGCTTGTCGCCGCCGGGGGAGTCGTGACGAAGGGAGACGCAGGTGGGAGGAAGTAGGCGGGATGAGGACGACGAGAAGGTTTCTATTGGGAGGCGGCCACCGGGAAGGGACCCCGAGCGGCCGCCTTTTTTGCGCCTCTTCTTCATCTCCCGCCCTCAGCTCTTCTGATTCTGCTGGCAGTTCTTGGCGTAGCTCGTGAACACAAAATTGTAATCGTTGAACTGAGCCAGCTGGCGGTCGAGGCGCTTGAACCCGTCGAGTTTTTGAGTAGAGGAGAAGACGCTGCGACATTTCGAGCTCTGGAGTGAGAGGAAGAGGCAGGTGCCGGTTAGACGGAGGACACCCAATTTGACGACGACCGTTCCGCGCGCGCGTCATACGTGCCTGATTGACAAACAGCGTTGTCACAAATTTTCCCGGCTTGAACACATCCACCACCTTCCGGACAAGTTCATCGTACGATGTCTGGGAGAGGTTCGTCTCGAAGCTAACATAGGAGAAATCTGGCTCCGGGGTGATGTGAATGGTCCAGTAGGTCCCCTGCGAGCGGAAGGCAACGGGAGGAGCCGGGTTAGCGTCACAACGCACGACGCAACACAGACGCCAAGACGCACTCACGTCAGTCTTCATTCCGTTCATTGAGTACCCACACGGGTTGAACATGGTGGCATCTATCACAGAACCTGGTATCAGGTCACAAATTCCACTCATCTAGAAGAGGGGGGGGGGAGGTATCAAATAACCATCCTGTTTGTCAAATATCTCCAACATGTCAAGTATCCAAAAGATGTATCAGGTTGCTTGATTAATGACAGATGACATTACTTGCCGCATCCGATTTTTAAAAGATATATTTTTGAAATAACCTGCCCAATGGAAGCATGGAGAACAAGCATCATTGTGTGACAGTGCTACAACAAAGACTTGCCACAAAAATATTTCAAGTCTATGGTTGTCAACTAACAATGCCGCTCGAAATCATATTCTTGGGGAAATTAGAGGGTGGGGGGAGGTTGCTTTAAGACAGGTCCTAACGGACTCGTTTTTTTATTGAATGTTTTTCGTCCAAATATTTCATCATGACTTGCGCCGAATAAAAACAGGTTCTCTTGTCAACGCTTGTCTTACACGAGTGACTTCACTTGCAGAAACACCGTCTTTCATATAGAACTGGTCCATAATGGCTGGATCAAGGTCACTCATCAGAACTTCCAGTGTCTGATCCGCATACTTGTTCTCCCAGTACTCCGGCAAGTCCAGAGTAAACAGATACCTGGTCGACAACAAAATGGGAACCGGTGAGGATTCTAAATTTACAATTGCTGCGATGTGTACAAAATAGCAACGTACTTGCTATTCAAAAAGAAAAGTCACGGGTCACCGTAACGACGTGTATAAATGATGCGGCACTCTTACCAGCAGTCAGAGTTCAAACGTCCCATGCAGTAGGCTGCACCATCTGGAGGAAGCCAAGTCGCAAAATAAGGAAGATTTTTGTTATCTCTTCATGACTCCGACATCATGACGCAACAAACAGCTACTGGACTACATCGTCAATTGTTGGAGTTTATGCCATTTGACATGCTCCAGTGTAACATCATCATCATCATCATCATCATCCCAAGTGGATAAAAACCCTCGAGCATAAACAGAATTGTTACTTTTGTTCTAAATATTATTTGTATTGACTGCTTCAAACATTTCCATGAAACTTTTGTGGCAGCTCTGGACGCCGGCTACGTCACCGCAATGAAAATTAGGCGGCTCGGCGATCTTTCTCAAGGCTGTTAACAAGATGGCAAATTTATTTTCATGACTCACTGGATCGGGTACAAATTGGGGTAAAAAGCACGAGTTGCATCTACGAGGGTGAGAAAATGGTTTTGTCACCTGCCTGACACGTCGTCCAACAACTTTTGTTGCAGTCGGCCAACATTTTTGGTGACTTACTTGGGAAAATCTGGCCGAGAAAATCTACTTCCTCTTGGAAGTTGCGATGAGGGAACTCTTGATGGGTCGGCTTCATAAAATTCTTGCGGGAGTAGAAGAAATTCTGCAACGCAAACACACCGATCAGAACACACAAAACGAAAGGAGATCGGCGAGTGCCGGCGCCGGAGAGTCTGCGGCTCACCTCGATGGCATCGAAACCGCAGTACTCCCTGGCGAGTTCCAGCAGAGGCACCAGTGCTTGCAGTAAGAGGGTGGTTCCACATGTTTTCAAAATGAAACGTCTCTTGGAGACAAACATGCTACTCTCACTGGAGGGGAGAGAAAAAAAGACACTTCAAGTGAAATGACGTCGCCAAACGGCGTGCAAAGAATGGCGTTTGATGCCGTTAAAATTCATTGGGTTCAGGTTGGCATTTCTAGTCCTCTTTCAGGATACATTTGAGGTCCTCAGATATGGAATAAGGGTGGGACAAAGTATCAATGGGATAATGTGTCACTCGTCAACGTCGGCCATTTTTCTTCAATTGGGAGAGCCGCCGCCAGTCATTTTTGACCATTCCGACACATTTTGAAGGCCGACGGTTCTTTGGCTACATACCGAAAGAAAGCCTTAACCCTCTTCTTTGATCAGGACAAAAAAAAAAAAAAAAAAGTTGTACATTTCTACCCTTTACCATTCTTCAGTAAATCGTAGTTGAACATTGCTAAATCCATACATTTTCAATTGAGACCGAGATCAGAGCTTGGTGATGGCCAATGCGGCGCTTTGGACTTTGGTGATCCTTTTTTGCATCTCCGTTGATACCATTACGAGGGCGAAGGCAAGTCGAGTGTCGTTAGACCGCTCCATCTCGCCAGCTGAAAGTGGCAGCGAGCGGCGGCAGTGTCAAGTGACTGCAAGGTGACCGGTCTAATCTGGGAAAGCCTTCTAATCATAGCCAAAGACGGCAGACGGACCGCTCCACATCTCACCTGAGTATATAAGCTTCCTGCTTGTCGGTCTTTGTCACACTTATGATCAAACAGTGCACATTCTCCAAAAGTTTGTCCCACTCAAACCTACAAAGGAAACACAAACAAGCGCAAAGTTGAGCAACGACAACATTTCAAGTATTGCTTCGTTCTCGAGATGAGGTATTCTCAACACGATCCGGCCGGGAGCGAAGGAAGAAATGATACTCGTTGCAGGGCACGGCAAAGTGACAAGCATGCGCGGGTACGGGTTATTGGAACACTTGCTTTGCTTGTCCAAGGAAACACTACGGCAGGTGTGCCCAACACGACGATCGCGATTGAACGGAAGTTCGCGGACTGGTCCCAAGTCGATCGTGAGAGGTGGAGTGATTTCCTTTTCACAAACTATCGTATCTACTTTATTTGTTTTGTTCGTAACGGCCGTTAAGGACATTGGTCATCATGGCGTGTGTGTGTGTGTGTGTGTGTGCACGTGTCGATTCTCTAGTTTTTAAATTAGGGCTCAAGCTGCATTGTATTTTTAAAGAAATGGCCCCCAAACAAGCAAAAATTACTGGTGTGCATTAATAATAAAAAAGGAAATGTGTGGCCGCTATCCAAAATGGCATTATAGCATCAGACCAGCGAGACCACATCATCGGAGCCGGAGGTCAACTCCCACTCGAGTGTGAAGCGAACACCGCAGGCTATTTGCGGGTGCTTCGGCGGGATCAGATTTCCCCCGGAAAGGGGCGCCAATGAGGGCAAAATACTACAAGAGCAACCAAGGCCAAGGATGCCTTTTTTAATACAAAAAAAACAGACTGCACCCTTGCGGACTTCTTTGGAAGTTGGCGAGGCGAACAGTCCGCCAGCTTGATCCCAAAGGGCAGTTTGTTTTTTTTATGCCACAGAAAGCTGGTCAAAGTGAAAATTTGCTTGGGCTGAATCATTGTGAAAAATAATCAGATTTCCGTCTGTGCAATATTGCGATTGCTATTTAAGATGCTTTTATTTTTGTTAAAGGTCCGCTTAAACAATAAAAGGCACAATGAAACAATGACAACAGCAGATTTTGGATACATAAATGTCTTGGTCTTGTAGGTCAGGCTTGGGCAAAAAAAAAAAAAGAAGAAAAAAGTAACTTTGTAAACATTTTGACTTGCAGTTTTTTTAAGTGGACACTACAACACTGCTCTCTGTTTCATACACATTATGTGCCCGTGCATTCAGTTGATGATTGCTTCGTCATTTTGTCCATAGGGACCTGCTATAGAGCAAGTTACACTAAGCTAAGTGCTGGAGAAGTTCAAATGAGCACGAGACAGGTTGAACCGGTCGCAACAATTCAGTCGAAGACGCTTTGCTCCCATACAAGTAGTGAGGGGACGTACTGTGAGACGAGACTTAACCTTCTTCTGTCAGAGTTTGTTGAAAAAGCACCCGAGCTGCACTTTGTCCAAGGAGATGGGCACTCACACAAGCGTCTCTTGAAAATGAACCCACCCAAGTTCATGCCATCAAAGGAAACTATTCGGTTTGATGCAGTGGGTTTACAATTAGACATGGTAGGGCTGTAATTTTGAGCATATTTCCCAATATGTAAGAGCGCGTTAAAACCAGAGCCCAAATTATGCAATAGAATTCAAAGAAACAACAAATAGGCAACATTATCAAACCGATTTATACCTGGTCTGCATCTTTCCTCATACAACTGTATGCGCATCTCAAAGGGTAGAGTGCGATACGATTCAAGGACGGGCCAGTTTGAAACCTAATTATTCAATTTAGCTTGATTAAATCCAAACAGATTTTGCGATTCAAATCATTTTTGCTCCACTCCTAACTGCTATGTAAACAAGCTCATTGCTGGCCATTCACAGCCACAAAAGGTGCGCCATCGTGATCTGAATAACAGGCGTTTTATTGAGTTTTCCAGCAATTACTTTCTTCCGACGTCTGTTTAGTGCATGGGAATGAGAGAACCAACTCATGATTTGACACGTGACCGCCTACAAATGAAACTCAATGTGCCAGCACAGTCAGAGAGTTTGTATGTTTGAAAAACCAGCATGTCTCTGCAAGTCATTAAAAAAAAAACCTAATAAGGTGAATAATGAAATCCTGTTTGATTAACATTTCTTTTCACTTCCTAAGCATTCAATCTGTCATTTTCAAACAGGTTGAAAAGGAACTTGATCATTTGACTGTGTAAGCAATGGGAAGAAGGAAATGCATGTTTGGAAACGTGACTGGGACATATTCGGGCGAGTGGTCCGGTGGGAAAGTTGGGACTCTTTCGGCAAAGATTCTTTGTCACGTCCCTAGCTTAATGATTACAAAGTTTAACCACAACTCGGCATTTAAAGAGGCTACACGGAGGGTTACATAACCACCCGAACGTGACAGATTCGTCTGTGCCATTCGTATCATCGGCCCTTGCTAGCAAAGGAAGCACGCGGTAGTGACGACCGACCACATGCTTGACATCAAATATGGCTTCATGTAGTTCGACAGTGGCGCAAGGGGAAAAAAAAAACATTCTCCCTTCCTCGGCGGCACTAAAACGTCAACATCACGCAATCGGCTTTGCTACTTTTGAAATGTATACGTTAACGCACATATAATTCAAATCGACCGACGTTCGCCTCCCACATAGGGCCTGCTAAAACGCCTCCGTTTCAACCCTGGAATAGTGACCTTCAGAGTAAAAACCGACAGCAATGTTGAGTTTAGATTATTCAGTAGCGGAACCATGTTTTGGCTTCGTAGAACTCAAACCACAAATAGGAATCGTGCAAAATCCAACCGCCTACCTAAAAGAGAAAAAAAAGCAAGTGTTAGCTAGATAGCAGTGGCCGTGTTTTACATTCGAATTAAACCTGCTTTCAAATATAGACCGTAAATACGTAAGCATTTGGTCAATGTCCAAATTTGTGAAGTCACCGTACGTCTACTAAGCAAATGAATGAGTCAGGAGGGGTGGCCATTTTTAACTGGCGGCGTAAACTCATTCCTGCGTGGGCTCGGATAACCGCCTTTGGTATGCCGTCTTTTTAGAACGAATGAATGAATGAATAGCTAACACTTAGAAAATACCCCTTGCGGTATTCTATTCCACTTGGATGCACATTCATGATGAAATATCACGAATGAAGAGAGAATAACGCTTGGCGTGTGGTCAGGGTTCCAATGACGTCGCAAAGTGTTAAGGACACCTGATACACAAGTTCCACAGGGAAACAAACCTTGGGATGGTTCGCAGGTCCCCGGTTCCTTTGGTCTCATCCTGCCGGGAGAACCACAACTCTAACAGTTTCTCGGTCCCCTCGAAGAAATGTGCACCGTTATCTTCCATCATGAGACAACAGACGGGCGCAAAAAAAAAAAAATAATAACGTCGGTTATAACGTTTTGTCTTAATTAATCCGTATTCAATAAGATGATAACTTATAGGTGTACAGTCCGTTAAACAATCCAAACGATGATGATTTTTCTTCAGTTACCGTCTTCCCTTTTGCAGAGAATACCGTTAGCGAGTGCTAGCTAATATCGCCGGCCATACTGTGCACAGCCCTGTACGACGACTGCGAGCTGGATTTATATATGAAACGACGAATACGTCATTATCTTATATAACCAACCGTATTGTAGGACTGCGTTTGGTCAGATGCGATTGGTCCAAAGGGCTGTCCGTTACAGCAGTTCGCTTGGCAACACATACGTCACGTGACGACATGTTAAATTTTATTTTAAATCGCAACTTGTACTTCAGTGTCCACAAAAACATTCCCCGTTGTTAAACAGAAGATGTCACTTTTTGTAATATTCTTTAACACTAACTAGCCACAGAGGCACGATTTTATACATTTTCATGTGGGTATTATTGCAATGGATGCAATTGTTCAGACTGTCAACTCTGGAGCACGTTCAATTATGTCGGGAGACGTCGCGGGCCATTTGCAAAATACCGCATTGTCTTATATCTCTTGGGCAGGTGTTCAAATCTGACAGCGAGATGTCAGCGAAGCAGTGCACCAACCATCTTCATGATAAAGGTAGTCACCGCCATCAACAGCTAGTTCTGGAAACAACCAATTGTATATAAATATGTCGTCATCACGGAGTGGTTTCTTCACCGTGTGCTTTGACTTGAAAGTCACATCAGCCTGTTCGTATTCCATGTTTTAAAATGACACGTATAATTCAACTTTGATAATAACGGCCTGCTTCATTTAGTTATTCGGGTGTCACTTTAAATCAATTGTACGAACAAAATTATAGAATGAATTATTAGCAATCTATGTATATTAAATGTCGTTCCATAACCATTCATTTTTCTGTAAATATGTGCTAATTCCTGTGTTGCCGAGGTTGTGCACTACTGTATTACTAGTGAACATCGGCGTTATGTATATGCGACGTAATTCAAACAACCAATCCCGGGATTCTTAAAAGCGTACTAGAGTACGCCAAGTATGGCACACAGCGGCGAGATATGCGGGTTGTAGTTTTTAAATGTCTCTTCTCGCGTAGATGCGAACCGCTGCGTCTCTTCCCCGAAACTACGTTACCCAGCAAGCCCTGTGCGCCAATTAGAAACGTCAACGAGCCAGTGAACATTAAGCGGAGCAGACCAAAATCCCAAACAAGGAAATGGTGGGGGAATAAACCGACCAGATTATTTAATTAATGCATGTAATAATTAATATTTTATTTTATTGTAAATTACGACGTATTTATGGGTTAGAATGGATTACGACTTCAAAACAAAGCTGGCTGCCGAGAGAGAGAGAGTAGAAGATCTGTTCGAATATGAAGGTTGCAAAGTGGGTCGAGGCACCTACGGGCACGTTTATAAAGCTAAACGCAAAGACGGGTAAGATGACCATGGACGTTTTTGTTTATATTGATATGAAAGTGACCGCCGGATGCATTTTGCGAAGCAACACTTGCATGTGTTTACGAACGGCGCGTTCGATTTGAATCCCCTCCCAAAGTGATCGCCCGTGTCTGTGTTTTTGTTTTCATGTAACGCGCTCACTCACCAACGGCCCCCCCTCCCTCTCCTCTCCCCCATGCCTGATCGTCTCCTCTCCCCTCCAACACATAGTCCTGCACAACATAGGAGCGGGTCATCTTATTTTTGACATGTCCTGTCAATAGTGGGCATGCGATTCATCGTATGGGAACGCACTTGAGTGGCACGGGTGTCGTGTTCGCGTCGCGCGATGGCAGCAGTTGAGGATTCCTTTTGCGTTCAACCCCCCCGCCTCCAAATCCCAACGCTGCACGATCAAACTTTTTTTCATACTCGGTAGTTGTACATAAAACTTGGCTCGTTGTCCTTTCGCGTTGTCACGCTCAAGCATGTAACACTTAAAATGCTGCCTTGAGGTTTGTGAAATCAGCTCCTGTGAAATCAGCTCCGGGTTGACTGAACGTTCTCGACTGTGTCACAACCGTACTACCTCTTAAACGTGCACACAATTTAACAGAGATTACACTTGGCAATGTCAGTGTTGTCAAACTTTACTAGGTAACACGTGAAGGAAACTACTCCGACTTGCTCGGGAGGAGCGTTTCTGCTTGCTTTATGCAGATAATCACAACAGATAGCTGTGCTCAATTTGAACGATATACAGGTACAGTATTCGCAAAGATGGGCATTCGCCAAATGAAAATGATCCAAGTGACATGGTTTACAAAGCCCCCAAATGTACCAAATGGACATTCAACACCCTGACCCTTGTTGTTTGCCCATTTTAGTTATAGAATTGTCATAATCGTTTTTTAAACCCCGACGGAAATAAGATGTGAACAATTCACATGAAATTCTGTTCCTTCATATCACCTCGATGATGGTTTGGATTATTATCCCTTGGTAGAGTTCATTTTTATTCAACTTTGAATGAGAGAAAATAGTAAATAATTTGGGATTAGATTTTGATGGTCACACTAATCATTTTAAAAAAGTACAATGATCACAATAAAGTCATTCATATGATAAGTCAAGTGGCATTTTATCGAGATGAACATTTTACTTCAAGAACCAAGTAGCAATGTTAATTCAGATTCAGAAAACTTTATTCATCCCCGTGGGGCAATTCGAGTTGTGCGGGAGCGGTTAAGAGAAGTTGGAACAATTCATTGGGGGAGAAAATGTGATTAAAGTTGTATTATAACACGGAAAACGTTACAATGCTACCGCTACTAATTGCCAAAAAGTAATCACGTTGTTGTGGCTTTCGGCTTATCCCATCAGGTTAAATCTGAATCATCTTCATTTGGCCAGTTTTCTTCTTTGCGTGCCGCTCACTGAATGAAGTTGTCATTTGATCCCGTCCGTCTACATGCTCCATTTGCCATTTAGTCCAGCAAGTTTGCATCTTGTTGAATATCTCCACGCCATTATTTTGTAGCTTGGGTTTCCTTTGGGTCACCGGTGGCGCCGCGGTACCTTTGCGTGACTTTGCTGCAAGCAGCGTGAGTTCAGTCCCCACTCAGCGACGGCGTGAATGGTTTCCCGTCTGTTGACGTGCCCTGCGACTGACTGGCGAACACTTCAGGGTAGAGTCTGCCTTTCGCCTGAAGTCAGCCGAGATAAGGTCCGGCAGTCCTTGACCCGAAACAGGATGATCGGTCTTGAAAATTGATGGCTGGGTGGTTTTCTTTTGGTCAACCTCTGCTTGTGAAACCAATATTTTAAAATTACAAGGTAACTAGCTCCCCCGCAAATGTTTACCGATATGAGTCAAAAGTCTTAGTGCATACTTTGAAACGAAATACTAAAGTAATATTTTCCCTCATGTCTTTTTTCTCCCCCCTTACAGGATAGATGAGAAGGAATATGCACTGAAACAAATAGAAGGCACTGGAATTTCAATGTCTGCGTGCAGGGAAATTGCGGTAAGTTACATTTTGATTTGTGCTCTGGCAAACATACTGTAATCCAAGAGGAAGTGGAAAATGTATTTAATCTTGTTGATACTTTTGCAAAAAGAATACAGTAGATGTCAACTTGTCACGTCCCCTCCGGTCATGGAGCAATGATTCCATCACCCTCATTTCTGTAGTTTCTTGTTCATTGTCTGATACAACTAAAGGTACAAATTGTTTGAACACATTAATGCTGACAACCTAAATAGCTCATAAATGTCATTCTATGTCGCCATTTTCCATTGTTTTCTTCATTTCAGTTCTTCTAGCAATGGCTACTCTGGGGCTGTCCAAAACAACGGCCCTCAGGGGCCATCCGTTTTTCAGCCACAATTGCTCAAGCTATATAAGTGTAAGACCCGAAATAATGATGAGCCAAGACAATGACAGTTTTGCAGTATCCAACATGGTCATCAAACAATGAGCATTGCGGGCAAGGACCAGAATAACCTCAGTTCAATTATGAAGATAAAGGCACGATTTTGGAGGGGCCATGTTCAAATCTTGTGAGGAAAGGCGGATGGGATTACAGGGGCGGTACAACTGGCGTGAGGTGAAGGGATAACAGTTGCCAGATAGCTATAGATACAGTAATTACATAGGGGCCAAGAAGCGAGCCCTGCGGGACTCGTCCAACAAGATAACTACATCAAGAGAGTGAGTGTCAAAAGTCAATAAAGGCGCTAGCTTTGATCATGTTTGACATCATCCCCGAACGTTTGAAACCGACGGGACGATGGTCCGACAGATCCACTCTGCTGGGGCCTCTCAGTTTACGACGGCGTTCTCGTTTCTCGGCTGGCGACATAAACCCGAATTTGTGCTTACATTCAGAACGCCAACCTAGGCTGACGCAGAAATGAATTCAATCATTGCCGTCAAGTGGAAACCCTTGAAAGAGTCCCTTGTCAATTGTCTTCACTTGAGATAACGTGTTGATCCAAATCGTAAAAAACGGAGTCAATAAATTGATGTTGAGGCCAAAGCGTTTGTGGCGGTGAGGGTGGGGGGAGAGAGGGGGCCGTCCGAGGCATGTCAGCGTGACACTCGGCGAGTCCATCCGAGTGCGGTAGAGTGAGAACATGGCCCCCTTGACATTCCATGAGCTTATTACGTAACAGTCTATAGTTTCCACTTGGCAATGTCCACAGAATTCACATGGAGCAATTGGCCTCCGCGCCGTGCCAGCGCCACTCAAGCAAACATCTCGTGACATTGCGAGAACACACTGCAGCTGTTGAACCCAGAAGGCGTTTTTTGAATGTCCTCTCGAAAGCATGTGAACGTTTTGAAGTCATTTTTGGTTGAATATGCAACATTTTTGATTTCACAGAAACTTCACCGTGCAGTCAAGGATCGTTTGAAGTTTTAGAATGCACTTAACTTGCTCACGTGTTGAACTGATCAGTCTTTGTTTTCCTGTGACCGTCTGGATGGAAAAGCCTGTTTAACCGTGGCCGCCGTTTGGATCGCCGACTCGGACGCATGGAAAAAAATTGTTGCTGACTTAATTGTTCAATACAAACAAGAACCCACCCACGGTGATTTGAATAACTGCCAAAAGGCATGATGAACTTTTTCAAAAATGACTGAAGATTAACAAACGTCATTCGGGAGACGCCTTATTTTGATCAGACCCTACAGACATTTTGAGAAGAAAAAAAAGCCAAAGATGCCGCCCTGAGCACACTATTTTGGTGAGGCAGTCAAATTAATTCTGTCACTCGTGAGACTTCTGCACACCTCAACAGATATTTTGGCCCACTCCTTGTTTTCTTCTTAATCATTATTAAAATTATGATTGGACTTTATTGATCTGAATTCCTGGTTGTCATCGATGACATACAGTCGACGTATGCGAATGGACGACAAGAAATTCGACAGTTAAAAGGGTTTAAGGCGTGAAAATGATTTCGATCTGTGAGAAATAGCAGATATTTTTCATGTTCAGGGAGAAAAAATGAGTGCAGGACTTGCCCGCAGCATGCAATTCATCAGTGCCCCGGCGTAAAAACGTTTTCCCTCGGACTTATCAATCGTGGTCTCGCTACATTCACTCAGAACAAGGTCAGCGGGTCTCTACTTTGCGATGGTTCGTGTTGCACCGAAAGAACGTGATGAAAATGCGAGAGCCAAGGTGAATCCGCGAGTCGTGAGTTTGGAACAGTGAAATGAACATAACATGATCATAAATTAACAAAAGTTGAACATGAATTGATGTATTCGGGTGGCGCCGCTGACATTTGCATATTGACTCATGGATAAGTCGCCAAAAGCTCTATTTGCGGCTACACCTTGTTTTGCATTGAACTTTGACTCATGTTTGTTTGACTTTGTGGTCATGAGCTTTACCCCCTTCGGTGACGCTCATTTCATCAGCCCATGATGGCGCTGCCTCCATGAGCTTCAAATATTTGAACAAAGTGTTATGATCGGTTTAAGTACACGCTTTGCATCTAAAACAGAAATTGCAATTACTGGAACCTGCAATGATGTTTTTCTGGGCGGGCAAACAATTTTGTTTTTTAAATAATAAATGAACAGCTTTCAACTCCTGAAGGCTTTTGGGGGGGAAATAAAATGCTTCATTTTGCTCGGTCATGTGCACTCCATCCGTCTCGTGTCCACAACTTTTATTTGAAAAAGTCCCCGTTTCCTATTCATTCAAATATGTTGCTGGGCTGAGATGGAATTTTAGCTCACCGGTCGGCAGTCTGCGCTCCCAAATTCGGAGACACGTTATGTTGGTGGCGCGGGGTTCATTCCCCGTTGGTTCCCGTCGACCTCTCCTTTCGGCACCTTCATAATACTGCGTTCACATTCCTTCTAAGGCGGTTTGCGTTTATTATCACTTACACGAGTGCATGTTACAAGTCGGTGGAGGTCGCCGAGATATGCTTTCATCTCATCATCGACTGGGCTTTGAGTTATTCATTAACTTTCTTGTTTGCCTTTTTTCATGCTACACTTACCATCCGAGTTTTTTTTTTTTTTTTCACGAGTTCTTGCAGCCATTTTCCATGCCACTTGAGAAACAATGGTCAATAAGAAAATGACAGTTAATACATTGACGGACTAAAAATCAAAATTGCACCACATCAAGAAAATAAGAATTCTTTCTATATGGTCAATGCAGTTTTTTTTTTTTGAATTTTTTTTTTACCAGCAACAACTTACTTCTCAAGTCACACTTCACTGTACAAACAGTTGTAAAGTAAATAGCTCGAAAGTGTATTTGCAGTCTCGGTGGACCGTGAAAGCTCAAACATGGCTTTTCCACAGGTCTGACGAGTCCTGCAGCTATTATTACTATCCATGCTTTTTCTAATCCGCTTCTCCTCACGAGGGTCTCGCTCATGCTGGAGCTTACCCAAGCTGCCTTCGGGCAGTAGGCGGGGTACACCCTGAACACCGGCGTTGCTTGCCAATTCCAGGGCGCACATTGACCAACGACCATTCACACCTCGGGACAATTTAGAGTGTTCCATTGCAATATGGGAGGAATCCAGAGAAAACCCAGCGGTATCTTGACGTCATTTCTACGTACTGCGTTCACGTTGACATGCTCCTATTTGTCCACAAGAGCTACTGTAGTCCGCAGTAGGGACTTGCTTCATGTGGCATGTACATGACAAACTAATTGGTGCTTTTTGATGGATCTTGGTATCTATTCTTGAAATAGAGACCTGCTTTAAAAAAAAAAAAACAAAGCCATTTGTGCCCATTAAGTCCATTTTTCAGGTCACAGTGTGCTAATCTCTAAATCTCCATGTCAACTGTTTAAGGTTTGCTCCGGTTTCTCTGTAAACATGTGACATGCGTTGCTCTCCGTGAGAGTACACTTACGTTGCCCGTAAGGCACTTTGTGTCTGTTGAAGAAAAAAAGTCTCCAGTTGATCTTGAAATTCACCTTCCCTTGGCGAGGCCCTTTAAAGATTGACTGGCGGGAATGTGACTTTGGTGCGAATGTTTGGAACTCCTCCAGTGAGTGCTTTTCCTGTCAGCCTTTTATGAAAACATGACCTATTTTCCAGAAAAGGGGAACTAACCAACCCATTTTCTTCCTGACATGCTGCTATTATTCTATGGAAGGCGGGTTTGTCGGTACATTCGTGCAGTATATGAACGGGATTAGACGGATTGCGTGTTGCCCATTCTGATCAAAGTGCGCGCTCTGCGTACAAATGTCAAACGGCGCAGACCAGCAAGTTACGGAACTTGGCTGTCCATTGAACACTCGCACAGAACCCAAGCGGCCCAGTCTGGGTTACAAATGAGCCGTTGTGACCGATTCGTGATATTCCAGGATTTCCATCCATCCATCCATCCGTTTTCCGATGGGCTTTGTCCTCACAAGGGTCGCGGGGGGGGCTGTGCCGGAGCTTCGCCCAGCTGAGCCATTTTTTTTTTTCTTGTGTTCTCCAGCTGTTACGAGAATTGAAACATCCCAACGTGATTGCCCTGCAGAAAGTGTTCCTCTCCCACAGTGACAGAAAGGTTTCGCTCCTGTTAGACTATGCTGAACATGACCTCTGGGTGAGTTTTTCTCCACGTGCACGTTACATGCCCTGCGGTACGTCCGTCTGGCAGGATTTCGCCCAAAAAGCGTCACACGTCATTCAGACCCACGTGCCGATGGTCACGATCCGATAAAGACGCGTGCGTCGTTCTCCGGCTGAGCTCACAAACAGTTGTGACACGGAGGGCGACCTGAAACGTGGACAGCCACGTCCAAATCAGTGACCGTATACAGCACAGTCTGGTGGACACTGTCGGCTCGCTACCGCTGTGTTTTGACTACAAAATAATGGGAGGAAAAAGAAATACTTCAAAGTCATACAAAGACTCCGACCGCATAACCGGCGTGATCATTTTTAACCGTCACTTACTTGGGTTTTTTTTTTTTTCACCCGGCATAAATCCAAATCATGGCGATTGGATCTGCTGTCAACACTGGGAAGCTAAGGAACCGATAAAAATGTTGTTTTTAGAATTCTGTGAATCATTCATTTTTTTTCAAAAAACATTTCCACAACACTGAGATCAAAATGCGGAATGGAAAAACAGGCCGCAGGACCGAATTAGATTTTAAAATTGAGTTTGACATGACCGTGACGGTCACAAATGCAGAACAAATCACTGTGGCAAAAAATGAGCCCTCGAATGCAAAGATTTCAAGGTCAAATATGAAAGCAATAGTGACTTGACCTTGCAACCTATGACTGCGTGCGCTCACAAATTTCCTTCCGCCAAAGACCCCCCAAAAAAAATCCACAATAGTCACTGAAATCACTTGAGCCTGTCGAAAGTCACAATCAATCAAACATTCCCAAGCAACTCCTGACCCGCATGACTTGTTTGTATGATGAGCCAAATGCACACAAGGTGGCTTGCTGCAGAGTACAAATGCCATCCTGGGAATCCTTTTGTCTTTCTTTTAGCATATTATCAAGTTCCACCGTGCCTCCAAGGCCAACAAAAAGCCCATGCAGCTGCCCCGAGGGATGGTGAAGTCGCTGCTGTATCAGATTCTGGATGGGATCCATTACCTCCACGCCAACTGGGTCCTCCACAGGGATCTGGTGAGCAGCTCTGTTATATTTCAGCGTCACCGCTCCGCTTTCTTTCCCATGACTTGCCCTTCTCTTACCCTACGCACAAAAGTTGGGGAGATTTGGCATTGATGGAAAATGTCAAAAGTTGACGCGACGATCATGAAAGTCAAACGGGTGGTTTCCTCGTCTCAAACGCTTCATTGAAACAAAAGTTAACCACGTCTCCATAACCCGTCGCGTGCCCGCCAGAATCAGTTGCAGCTTGACGACGACGTCTCAGGCTGTTCACGGGTTGCACGCATGGAGGTTCTCGGGGTGCATGCACGGCTTCGCGCCTCTCCGCGGCGACTCGGCTGATTCCCCTTGACTTTGACGCCTGCGAATTTCTTCGGGTTCGCCAGCGCTCATATTTATTTGCACGCGCTCAGAGAACGCAAGATGACATTTCTATCCGACTCACAATGTGCGGGCGAAGCGACCGCGCCCGGTGACCAAGCCGCAAACGTACACCATTAAATTATAACGGCTCAAGATCAGAAGGTTTTCGATTCTGTTGCGTGGCTCTTTTGGCGCCTCTCCCTGGCTGCAACCCGCCCGCGTCTGTGTGATGGTCTCCGCTGCGGCTTTCCCACAGGTTTGTTTTTGTTCTGATACAAAGAGGACTCCCAGCGCCGGCTCCATCCAGACTTTCTTTGGATTAGAATGACAGGATTTCCACCCGAATTGTTCGAAATTGAGATCACCCTTTACTCACACGACATGACCAACATTCATTTGGAATCCAAATTAAAAGAATCATCTCAAGCCATCCCGTCAACTATGTCGGCCGCATCAGTCAATGAAGTGAAACGTAAGATTTCAAAGTACTGACTGGTCGCGTCGAGCAATGTCGGAGGCGATAAACGACCGACATCGATGGGATGAGCGGATGTTGATTATTTACAATGTAGACTTCTAAGTCAGCGAGCGATTCAAGGCCGTCACCTTATCGGATTCCAAGCACCAAGCTTCTATTTACTCACAAGCGTCTGCTGCGGTGTCTCCGCTTTTACGTCATTCCTGAGCAATCCCGGGTCATGTGACATCTGGACGTCACATGATGCCAATCTGCTCCGATCGGGAAGCTTGCGGACGGCAGACGATTGTCTCTCTTTGCCGCTTTTAGTTGATCAACTGCGCAAGGGGCTTTTTGCTCCTTAACACGATCCGGTGGCGTCGGACTGCGGCCATGTCGCGAAATTGCTCCGAATGGCGTCAAATGTCAAGTGAACATCCAATGATTCGGTCGGATTCAGATGGGGCGTGAAACACGTCATTCCCAAAATCTGACGTCAGAAAGTAAGTCCGCTTCAATGTCAGATGCGGCGGTCCGGCACAGACCTGCGGAGCTGCGAGGCGTGAGCCGGACGGCACAAAATTAGCTGAAGGGGGCCGCTGTGCCATTTTGAACGCAGGAAAAACCCCGCTAACCGTTTGTGAAATCGCGGATGGTTTTTAAGCAGGAAGATCGGAATCTACTGTGAACCGGTTTCATTTGATGTGGTGCGCATTACGGTGGAAAAAAATTCATTTTTTTTTAACCCATCAAAACTTGGAGTGAAGATAAACAGCATTTTGGCCTTTTGGTCTTCACGGTTTTTCAAGCCTGCTATTTCTGGAGCGTTGGCCGCATAGTGTTTGTTGTTTGTGCGCTTTTGTTTTGTTTTTTTTTTTTTTTTATCCCAATTTCTGCCGCAGCTGGATGAAATTCTCCATTGTTAGGACCGAAGCTATCTGATTTGATGACAATGTAATGCAGTGTGGTTATTGAAGGCCGGTTCATTTCCAGGGCTTCCTGCCATTGTTGCCGCTGGGCTCTCCTATCGTAACTCTCTCCATTTGTCTTTGTTGGGCAGATTATCGAGTGTGAGCAGGTGACTGGCTCTTTGTGAGGGGGGGGAAAAAAAAAATCAATCAAACAAGGGCACTTTGTTGACTGGGGAGATTCTGTTGCCGATTTATGTTGAGGGAATTCCCATTTCGTTCAAGCACGGCAAGCGAAGAAATTGGACGGCCGACGAGCATTCCTGCCGCTCCGTCACGTTGTGGTGTTGAGCGCGCTTTGCTTGCCCTCTGTGGCGTAGCTCGACTCGGCCAGATGCTTCGCATGGCACCGCCGCACGTTTCCCATCCCCCCCACTCGTCCCACCCACCGCAAGCAACACCGGAGCGGCCGGCTCCCTTCCCGGCCGCGCGCCCCCGAGGGGGGCGGGGGGTTACGTAACAGCCCCGGAGCTTGTGCTGTCAAGATGCTAACCGAGCAGCTTTGCAGACCGCAGCAAAAGGCTCGCCGGGCCGTACCAACTATCGCTTCCGCGGGGAAGATTCCCGAAGGGGATCTATTGCTGCAGCGTATTTGTTTGTGTCTTCCTGTCAAGAATCGTCCCTTCCACAAAAATTGCAGCAACAGAAGAACCGGGCTGGAGCTGCTTTCCTGCTTATTGATTCACAGTTCTCTCTCGACTATTCTTCGACACGACCGCCTTATGCGGTCTGAAATTAGATTTGGGTTTGTTTTGTCAGACTCAAATAGACTTTTTGGGATTGTTTGTTTGTAGTGACAGTTTACAAAATGTATTCTGACTCTCGGCATATGCACGGATTGAACTCTGGAGGTCATTCGAATGCTCTCCATCAGGGGTTCACCCACTTTTTTGCCTACAGGGTAGACGTTGTTCCAAGAACACCCCCCCTATCATCCTAACAGCAGTTACACATCACTAGCATCACTTCGTACTAAAATGCGAAGGGAAGGAAGTGAATTTCTAAAATACAACTTTGTTTTCGTAATATCGGATGATTAATAACACACACACACACACACACAGACAAATCTTTTTTTTTTCCCATTCAGCCTCGACATCCACTATGATCGACTCGTGACTAGTCTGCGGGCTAACGCTCGATCGCGATCGAGTGGTTGGGCACCCCTGCTAGATTTAAAAAGCCAATTCAAATGACCTACAAAAAGGCATCTTCAAATACTAATGACCTCAACTTTTGTTTTTCCAAGAAAGGGGAAACATAAGGCCAGTGAAGTCAGCGATTTACAGGAAGACTTTGAAAGCGGAGGTTTGCATTCTGCTACAGCTGATCGCTGCAACATCCCGATTGGAGGGAGGCTTTGTTATCGACTGATTCATTCTGTTGCATAAGCATCAGAATCTGATTCTGGCTCCTCAGCTGGCCCAATTTTTGGACAACAATGCAGATGCCGTTGCACAAGAGGATGTTGTGCCCATTTATGACGCTGCCTGACTGTTTTGGGAGGTTGTTGTCAACACATTTGGAAAAGAACCGATCGCGATTCTGACAGACAGACAGACAGACATGTGCGGTACCAAAGTAAGACTTAGTCAAGCTGCGTTCACAATCGTAGTAAGAAAGCGGAAAGTCCTTTTCAAATGCAATGAATATCCATCGAGTTCTTCTTTTTGATTTTGGAGTGAAATTCACAATTTGTCGGTGTAGTTGCGCTTCCGCTCCGTTGTACAATAACTTGCTCCGATGCATTTTGAAATTGGTCATTTAAAACTCATTTGTGTGGAAGCTCCTGCGCAAGCGAGGGCTGAACTATTTTGAAAAAATGGCGAAATCATGGGATTGCAATTGAAACCCGCCGCTGTACTTTAAAGGAGCAAAATGAATCATGAAAAGAGTAGAAAGCACAAAAACAGTAAAAGCCAAAGAATAAAAAAAGGAATTTTAAAGATGGGCAGCGAGGGGGGCTTGCTCAACTTATCTAGACGCCACGTCAATCCATAAAATATACTGTATGTCACCAAATATACATCCAAATACATAAATATGTCTTTTTTTTTTTCCCTTTCAAGAGCAAAAGGTAGAGCTCGGACTCCTCGGGACTGTGAGACTCATTTGCCAATAACGACACGTCGGCCTGCGGGCATGGACTCCAAATCCGCTTGTTAGTGCTGTTTCTGTAGCGACAAGAATTTTGGTCAGACGGACGGACGGACCACAGTGAGCGCAAACAGCACGAGGGAATTCAGGCGTCAGATATTTTATTTGCCTCCCGCAGCTGTGAGCGGCTGGAAGCGTCCGACGGCATATTTGAACTGTGTTCCTCTTTGTTTGTGTTCGCCGGGTGATATTTGTCGCTTATCAAATGCGGGAGGAGTCCCGACTGCTTGGCGCGAATAGCAGGAAGTCTGAAGCAACGATGGCGTCAATTTGGCTCTTTTTTTGGAAACCGATGTTAGCACAACAATTGATGTTTACACTGATCTCGAAAAACAGCCGAAGATCCCGCCAGGCCGCATTTACTCTGCATGGTTAAAATGGATTTTTCAAACCTTTATTTACCCGCAGATGCCCCCACCCCATAACAAAAACAATGCCGGACGCAGCGAGTTACCCTGCGGCGTCTCAGAATCTTTCTCAGTTACTCTCGTTGTCACGTGAGGCCAATTGGCCGACCTGTTGGAGCTGTCTCAGGACTTTGTGAAAGTTGAGGACACTCTTGACTAAACGGATGGCTGACATTGTCGCGTCGTCGTCATGGCCACTGGCCACTGATCAGATACATTTTATCTGTTTTTTGATCTCACTGATCAAACATGCAGTATCTGTTCATATTACAGCTTTTTCTCCAACTTTGCTACTATGTTCTCTTCCGCAGAAACCAGCTAACATCTTGGTCATGGGAGAAGGACCCGAACGAGGAAGAGTTAAAATCGGTAAGGTACATTTCAGAAAAAGCTCCGTTTATTTATTTGGGTGTTTTGAAAAGGTTGACCTTCCCTCGTATTTGTCTGATAAAGTCTGCACAAGCCGATATTGTCACCACAGTGCCGTGGAAAAGCATTTTGCACATTCTTATTTTGGTTTTCTTTGGCTTTTTTTTCTCATTTTTCACACTTCAATGTTCCGGATTGTCGAGCCGATTTTTATCTCTCACAAAATATAGTTTGTCAAAATAGTTAAATATAGTTTTAAATGATTAATTTATTGACCGTATTTTCACAATCATATGGAAGGAAAAAAAAAGTGTGGGCGGGAGTTTCTGGTACATGCAAGCCAGATTACCCTGAAAAAAACCCCGGCAAGCACGCGCAAAACCCGCAAACCCCCACAGGGGAACGAGCAAAACCGAGATTCAAACCGGGAACCTTTCGACAGACTCGCTACATTACAACCTCAGACGTGACTTTTGTGTGTATGACGAAGTGGGGCTCGTGAAATGTCGAGGCGACGGAATGCGATAAGAACCTTGGCCTCGGCTCGCACCAGAGCACAACACTGCCTTTGTTTCCGCCAAACATGGCCTTAAAAGCGGTTGGGAAGTTGTTGATAAGCAGGTGCTAGACCGGGGCTGCCCAATTCATTTTCCCATGTGAGAAAGTGCAATCGTCGTTGAGGGTCACGCTAACATTGTAACCCCAGTTGTGTTTGGGAAGCAGCCAATCGTATTGTTTGGAGACGTTGCCGACTGTACTTTGCAATGTGTTGTCACAAGTAGGAAATAACAGAGAGGCACTTTTATTCAAGTGACATATTGACACATGAGCCAGTCGAACCTCTTTTCAACGCTGACGTTTCCAACCCGAAAAACAAACAGATTTTTAACTCTCTCTCTCTCTGTATATACAGTATATCTAGTTGAATCAAGTTTTCTTCCAAATAGCTGACAGTTTTTAGAAATACCGTACAGGAAGTTTGGTCGGCATTGTGGGCTTTGTCTTGGAGAAACTTTGGCAAGCGATGAGGCGCGGAGACCGTTGACGTTGGTCTCCAGTCCCTTCGCCGATCAGGATGCAGAATAGCGTGCACGCTGTCAGCAATGTCAAAGACATCAATTGGGCTCTCGGGAACAGCATCAAATCGCCAAAGATTGAGCGGAGAGAAGAAATTGAGAGGGGCGGCGTGCGCCATGGTCGACTTCTGGAAAGGCTTGGTTGGGCCCCACTTTTTGGCAGGAGTGGACAAGAACAACAAGCCTTTGGGTTTGCTGACGCCGCAGAGGAAATGTTTCCGGCCACTTTATCTCTTAGCACATGTTTTAACCTGCCATACGCCTTGAAAACACACAATCGACTTCACTTTTGTTCACTTCTCCATCTTTTCTACCTCCTCGCCTCGCCCTGCGTTGTGCAGCCGACATGGGTTTCGCAAGACTCTTCAACTCTCCCCTCAAGCCACTGGCTGACCTCGATCCTGTGGTGGTGACGTTCTGGTACAGGGCCCCCGAGCTCCTGTTGGGGGCCCGCCACTACACTAAAGCTATTGGTAAGTCCGGACGCTCGGGGGCTCGGGCGGAGGAGGGGGCCGAGTCTCTTTACATGCTGGATGTGAAGCGTACTATATGGAAAGGAATGTTCTGTCTGTCGACATGAGGCAACACGTACAGTATGCGGAGGGCGTCTTAGCGCTTCACGCATGCTGTGCGTCGCTCTTCCACGTGCGTTCAAGTTCACGTGTTCCAACGGGCATGTTTACAAGTTGAGGCACATCCGGCTTCGGATTGCCGGTTGAAAGTTGGGATTTGGAGACAGAAACGTGTCCTGGCACAATGATACGGTCCATTAGCTCGTGTCTGTCTTGTGTTTGTGTGCCGACGCACAGATATCTGGGCCATCGGCTGCATCTTCGCGGAGCTGCTAACGTCAGAGCCCATTTTTCATTGTCGCCAGGAAGACATCAAGACCAGCAACCCCTTTCATCATGACCAGCTGGACAGGATATTCAGCGTCATGGGTTACCCGGCAGGTCTGCGCTCGGAGCGAACACGGAAAGCACATTTGGGAAAGCGCAATTCCGTGACCAAATGTTTTAGCGACAGCGTACGGATTTAATGTCATCGTCCATTGCTCACAAGAAATGTTCACCGTTCGATTTGGTATGACTCAGATAAAGACTGGGAAGACATCCGGAAGATGCCAGAATATCCAACGCTTCAGAAAGACTTCAGAAGAACAACGTGAGTGCATTGCGCAAGGCTCCGACGATTGAAAAGGCCCCGTAACGCCGCATGTCGGAAGTGAATCCGGGCCTTGCCCAATCCATTACAAGTGACGAATGGAAGAGAGATCAATTTCAACAACCGTGAATTGAGCGCTCCCCCCCCCCCACCCCTTTCCCTCCTTGTTTCTTACAGCTATGCAAACAGCAGCCTGATCAAATACATGGAGAAACACAAAGTCAAACCAGATAGCAAAGTTTTCTTGTTGGTAAGTGCATACTGCATACGAGTTTTTTTTGTTTTTTTTTTTAATTCCTGACTTGGTATTTCTGCTTTCAGCTCCAGAAGCTTCTCACCATGGACCCCACCAAAAGAATCACATCGGAGCAAGCGCTGCAGGATCCCTACTTCCTGGAGGACCCGTTACCGACCACTGAGTGAGTCATAGCAACGTTTTTTCGAGAACGTTAGTCAATCACAACGCAGCTCCGCCGCGATGTCGGCCGTCAACGATCAGGAAAGTTGACATCCTTTTTTTTTTTCATTTTGGTTCCAATCTAATTACAGCAATTGACGTTGTGCGGTAGCTCCTTGATTGCGCGGAAAACACTCTGACCTTTCTCTCTGTCTTATCCTGTACCCCCCCAGTGTGTTTGCCGGTTGCCAGATCCCGTACCCAAAAAGAGAATTTCTCAACGAAGACGAGCCAGAGGAGAAAGCAGAAAAGGTAATTTGACCGTTTCCTCTGTGCGCTCATGTGAATTCATAGCCGCCGAGATGAATCAACGAGCCATGATAAAATGTGGTAGTCGTCGAGTTATTAGTTTCTTCGGCGCTTTGTTTTTCTGCCAAACCTGCCTCATTTCTCGCTTTTCCCACTGGCTGTAGTAGAATAACACTTATTTTACTACCGCTGATAACGACCGATGTATTGATTGGGCGGTTCAGTACGGTGAACACAAGTCAAGCTGGAACCGCCTTACCACAGAGAGTCATTGACGACGAACAGGAAATTACCGGTTAAATGAATTCGGATCTACATAGAAAACCTAACGACAGCTACACAACTAGTACACACATCCGAAAACTGAAAAAGTCAGTCAGTTACAGCATAAGACAACCAGGGGAAGTTTAGAAGGCCCACACGCCCCGGTCCAAATTCCCAAAAATCCTTTTTACTTTTTCACCCCAAATTAGACAAAGCTCAAATTGTGCCAAAGTACGCAAAATCCCTCCAGCGGCTTTGTAGCTGGCACGCAAGCTGGCCGTGGTCGAGCCAGGGCTCGGCCAGCATTGGCAACACGTGCCTTTGGGTGAACTCCGGTCAAGAAAGAGGCATTGTTTCCTCTGCGCAACCCCTGGGCAACCTCTGAGAACTCGCGGCTCCTCCATCACGCTGGAAAACAACAGCTGATCCATGCGTGTTAGTCACAATGTGACTGACCTTTCTGCACAGTGCCTGAAAATGTGCCATTTGTAATTGCGGTTTGTGTGGGGTCGGTGGAATCAAATCACACCAAAGTAGACCGGCTCTTCTTCAGATTTTCCGGTTCGCCTTGTTGAAATACTTTCTGCAAATAGCAGCCATTCAGTTGTTGACATTTCAGTGAAAGGTGGCTTGAGCGGCCCCAACGCAAGTTGGTACAATCAGGCTACTGTAGGTGAGTGGCCAAAAGCATTTCACACAGGCAGACTTGGGTTTGTTTTTTTTTTTTTTTAATTCAGATGACTTCCGTCTCACTTTCTGCAGCTCGCTGCTCATCTGTTAAGCGCTTGCCTTGTGTGCTCGCTCGCAGAACCAGACACAACAGCACCAGCAGACAACAGGCCAGACTCAGGCGCAGAACCAGCAGCAAACGGCAGCCCAGCAGGCCCCATCTCAGCAGAACTCAACCCAAACCAACGGCACCTCCGCAGCCACGGGAGCCAACGCCGGCGGGGGTTTACAACACGGACAGGACCAGGGCCCCGCCAATAAAAAACCCCGCATCGGACCCTCGGGCACCTCTTCGGGCACCGGGGTGCTCCAGTCAGAGTACCAGGTTAGTAGAAGGCTTCACGGTCAAAAGTTCCGGGTTCAAATCTCAGCGCCGGCCTTTCCTTTGTGGCATTTTAAAAATGTCATTGAAGAGCCCTTTGAACAGCTTCTTCAGTTTGACCACGTCCGACCATTTCGACTCCCGCGGCAACAGGATTGCCTTTTGTTCTCTTTGTATCGCCAGTTACCGATAGTGGAAACTATAATACGGCCAACCAATGACGCGCAGTGCCTTGAGATAAGAGTGACCCGACGTATGCATTTTTTGGAGATAACGAGCCAAACTCACTCCTAAGACGAAGACGAGCACGCTCGTATTTAAATCCACCAAACCGTGGTGCCATAAGAGCGGCCCGCTAGCTTCATGCTAGCTTCATGGCAAACGCCATAACGCGCTCACGATTAGCACTGACAGATGCGGTTCTATAACCGTCTAAGCAACCCAGAGTTGAACGCAAATGGCTGAGCGCTCCGGATATACAAAAAACGGAGGCGTATATTCTTTATCTTCTCTCAAAAATGATTGCCATGGCCTCTTACTGAGTGCGTACAGTAGTATCCATCTTTGTTTGCGTCTGCATATTACACTGCCTACGTGGACAAGGCAGATACATCAGAAGGAGACGCGCAATAAAAGCATGAAATCGTGACGCGCCAACAGTTTCGTTCACTACATACGATTTAATTACGTTCTGAAGTACAATATCACAAAGCGCTGTTTCTTTTGAAGCGAGGCTGGAACGGATGAATGGCATTTCTTTGGATTTGAGAGGGGAAACGTGCGATACGAGTGCTTTGAGTTACAAATGAACGAATTCAGCTTGCATCTCAAGGCACCAACTGTATCTTTGTTGTCAATAATACAGACACATGATGAGTAGGCAACAGTAGTCAAGCGACACAAGCCGTCTCCACATGCCAAAGTGTCCCGCAGACAAGTCTGTTGACACACCACGCGGTGCCTGTTGGTTTTTAGTTTGCCGTCTGGGACCGTTTCGAGTCGCGCATGTGTGCGCAGAGTCACGACTGTCACACACGTCGATGTATAGCCTACGTAGGAGGCCCGCTGCATGTGGCACATGCTAGCTGTCAGCTACCAGAAGAGGTTCATATTTGACTGACACAGCCAACGGCGTGCCGCTGCTGTTGTCGTCCTACTTTTTCCGTCATTGATTCCATCCCCGCAGGCCACTCTCATGCAACGCCCCGCTTCAATCCTGACGTAAATAGACACGGGGTTGCAAACGCTTTGAAGTATTTGTTCAGTTTGCATAACAGTGCATTCTCAGTTATCGAGCTGCGTTTCTACAAATTGTCATCACAGGAATACCGCAAGCTTCGCAAACTTCATTGGGTCCTCACTCATTCTGGGCCGATGAAAAGAAATCCATCTGTTCTGGAGGTGGGGGAGTGGAATTGAGTTTCATTGTGTGCTTGTTGGTCCTTTGGAGTCGGGCTGGAATCTCATCTTATCTGTTGTAGCGGGTAACCATGGCCTTTGTTTTGGGAACGTGGCGTCCCATGACGCACACTTTGGATGAGGTCGGCAGTCACTAATTTGATCCCCGCCTGCATTTTGGTGGACTGTTTCATAATTAAATCAATGGAATAAGGTGGCGGTGAGCTGTTCACGACTCTGTTTTCCTCCATCAGCACTCCAGCTCCCGCCTTGGTTACCAAAGCAACGTCCAAGGCCCCAATCAGCCGCAGGCCGCCATGGGGTACACGTCGTCATCCCAACAGAGCTCCCAGTATTCCCACCAGACCCATCGTTACTGAGACTCCGGGTCACTCCTTGAACCAGCAGAGGGGTGGACGACCTCCTCCACAGATGTCACCATTGGACGCTAGCAGGAAGCGGCTCCTTCGCCCCGGGTTTCTCACTGCATGACATCATTCCAGCGTTTTGACGCATAGTCACATGAAGGCAAACCCACAGGAAACAAAAACTAAAGCAAATACTGTCTCTGATGACACATTTTGGTCACCTTCTATATACATCTATCTCTCTATATCTCTATATAAAAATATAGAGATATAGACAGAGATATATGAAGGTGACACACATACTCCAAACGTATGGCACTTACGAACACACCGTTCCTCACGAGGAAAGGATTGCAGCTCCTATATCGCACCTTTTTCTATTTGATTTGTTACTTTTCAAGCTTGATGTCAGTGTAAATATTACATCTGGAGGTGGACAGGACGAAGGACGGAGGGTCCTTGAGTGGCATCTAAATCCTTGGATAATCAAATGCAAACTTGCTCAAAACAAAAACAAACATTTATTATACAGACAATATCGAATGCGCAATTTAACTTGACGGCATTCTCATGAGGTTCCTGTATTCAGAGCTCGAATGTGCAGAAGCAAAGTCTTTTTACTGAAAGTCATGTACATTCATCTGAGCCACTGTCTTCAGTAACCAGTAACTGTTGGGCCACAAAGCGGAGGATCTTTGGGGCTGGGGGGGGGGGGTTGTTTTTGGACTGCCAGGGGGACATTTTTGCATTCCGCCACAAACTGGAACGTGCGCATAAACATACAGGGCAGCTAACGGTAAGCGCCTCCCCCCCCCTCAGACCCCACCTTGTGCGCTTCATGAGACTGTTACTGACTGATGTCAATTTGTTTTGTATTGTTGTTATTGCCGTGTGCGGGCAGGCGGGTGGCTGTTGGATGCATGTTTTACCTTTGACTCGCTAGAAATGCACTGACTGTCGAAGCGATCTTTAAAAGAGCTGAAACAAACGCTTGTGGCCCCAGATGACCCTTCCCTGCTCCTCAGGCTGAGCACGCCGCGCAGGTTTGATCAGGACTACCTGTATGTCACGTTTTTTTTTTTTTTTAAAGTGGGTGTGTTCTTTAATGCAACAGAATGAGTTGACAGCCAATTGTGCTGTTCTTTTTTTTGGTCACTGAACGAAGATCTTGCAAAATTGTAAAATCAGAAGAACATTGATCTGATTTTTACCCAAAAACAAGCAGAGGCAGACAGCCTAACACTCCCCCCGACCCCCATAGTGGACTTCAAACCAGGAAACAGTCTGCTAACTATACAACAGCTAAAATCAAGTTCTTTTATACATAAGACGAAAATAGAATGTAAAATATTTCATCGGTCACTTTCTTTGCTTTGTGATTTATTTAACGTTTATTCATCTAGATGAGGCAATCGAGAACAAATCCCATTTGCAACACAGACTTTGAGACCAGTGGAGTACAGTAAAACAAAGTTGATCGGCTGGTTGAAATCATATGCTTCTAGTGCAGGGGTAGGGAACTGCGGTTCCTCGAGAGCCATCTCCTGCCTGTTTTCGATCCCTCCCTACTCCAACATAGTTCCCTACCCCTGTTCTCATGCATTGTGGCCAGGCCGCCATTTTAGGCTGAAGTTCCTTGTGGTGTTGTTCGTATGGAATTTAAAAAAAAAATAACTGGGTGAAATGAGACATTCCAGCCAGTACCTGCACTATTAATTATTGAGGACTGCTCCTGCTTGATTAGTTGATCGTGCCATATTCATCCAAGAATAGCTTCTTTACTCCCTAAGTGCATTTTTAAAATAACCGCGTAAAGACTTAGTTTTAAGTTTGAATCCTGTACTCCTGCGTATCTGCATGTTTTTTTTTTTCAAAATATCCACATAGAAGCTGAATTTTAAGTTCAAATCCAGTCGGTACTCTTGTTCGTGCGTTTTTTTTTGGTCTTTTTTTTGTGCGTGTTGTGTTAAAGAGGGCACCCAATTCAGTGACGTAGGACGCAAAAGATGAGCCTCAAGTAATTACAAATGAGGAAATACTGACACCGAGTGGCCAAAAAGGGAACTGGATTTCGTTTCTCTTGACTCCCACATTCGAAGAGTGTATATAACGTGTCAAAAAAAAAAAGGAATGTTTCAACTTTCACCACAGTTTCATTACATTGACGGTTACATGCCAAAATGTGTGTATAATGTATGCATTTCTCATCATCATCAAGATTTTGTACGGGAACTTTTTATCCGCAAACGGCTGGGTTCTCTCTGAGTGTGATGGGGCTAACACACTTTGATTCCTTCAGATTTGGAAAACATTGGATCTTTTCAATTGCACTTTTATAGAGAAAACGCAACACCGCTTGGTCGTTTCATAATCGAGAGGAGCGAAACCAAAAGACCTTGAAAGGCTTCCCTGCTCCTTGGTTCGGTCTCGGCAGGAGCAGGGATCAGTTGTCGGTTCGTATGTCAAGACAACTGCTATGCAAATCTAATCGCCAGACTCAAGCTTCTGTTATGCGGAAGTTTAGGAAGAACTGGGTTTGCTTTTCATGGATGACGTGTATATTTTCATCACTACGTGTGGAAGAGTCCGTTCCCTGGTCCAAAACAACACGCGCGTGTTTTTTTCGTTGTTTTGAAATGCACTCGAAATAGTGTCAAGAAATGCGGGCACGCACAATTATATTTATGATCTCCTCTGAATAATAGACATTTTTGTAAACTTTCCTCTGCCTTAATGCAGTAGCTATTGAAAGGGACCTGCCACATTTGTTACCGCATTAGTTACTGAATGTGTTCACACCACCCCAATATCCAATAGAATCAAGATCCAACACAATGAATTCCGCGTTGTATTATTATTATTATTATTATTAGAGGGGAGGTGTGGATGGTGCCTTTTGTTAGTACCCCACCAATGTTTTGTTTTGTTTTTTTTTAATTTGGAAACCATCCTTTTGTATTCTTGTGCTTCCTCCCATACATTTCCCCTCATTCCCTCTTGTTATGTAGCAGTTTGATACTTTTTTTTTTTTTAATCGCAAAGTGGATTTTAGCTGGGTCACATTTAGAAAAGACTGCATTGAGGTTTCAATGTAACTTGTCTTTTTAATGCCCTGGTATTTCTCACATATTTAGTGGTAAATTCAAGTGTTTTAAAAATGTCTTGCTTTGGACACTAAATAATGGATTATGGACGCATACACCGAGTACACGCTTGCTTGCGCACAATTATATTTATGATCTCCTCTGAATAATAGACATTTTTGTAAACTTTCCTCTGCCTTAATGCAGTAGCTATTGAAAGGGACCTGCCACATTTGTTACCGCATTAGTTACTGAATGTGTTCACACCACCCCAATATCCAATAGAATCAAGATCCAACACAATGAATTCCGCGTTGTATTATTATTATTATTATTATTAGAGGGGAGGTGTGGATGGTGCCTTTTGTTAGTACCCCACCAATGTTTTGTTTTGTTTTTTTTTAATTTGGAAACCATCCTTTTGTATTCTTGTGCTTCCTCCCATACATTTCCCCTCATTCCCTCTTGTTATGTAGCAGTTTGATACTTTTTTTTTTTTTTAATCGCAAAGTGGATTTTAGCTGGGTCACATTTAGAAAAGACTGCATTGAGGTTTCAATGTAACTTGTCTTTTTAATGCCCTGGTATTTCTCACATATTTAGTGGTAAATTCAAGTGTTTTAAAAATGTCTTGCTTTGGACACTAAATAATGGATTATGGACGCATACACCGAGTACACGCTTGCTTGTATAAATATCTTCCTTTTCCTCCTTTTTGATAGTATTTGCATGTGCCTGTCCTCTTTTCGGTGGAAAGGCTGAGAAATTGTTGCCGTCGACAGTTTGTACAGACAGTTTTAGGCACTCCCATTTGCAGTGCTGCCTCCGTAATGCAATTCTCTACGCTCGTTGGACAATTAAAGGCGTTGTTTGGCCAGTATCCCACGTTCCCACCTCGCATGCTACGATGTAAACACTCACTGAATCGAGTCAACCGAATTGTTTGCGGGGCGATGTGTCTGTCTACCATTCTGCATTCTCCAACGCAGGTTTGAAATATTCATATGGTCTACATTTATGTATTGTCTTTTCATAGCAATTATATATAAAGCAGCAGCAATAGCTCACCACAGGAGAACAGAATATGTCACAGGAGAACGCGTCAATTGAGCTGCTTTTTGTGAATCTGTCCAAATCCCACTGTACAAATGACTGTTAAATGAGAAAGAAAGTCATGTATATTTATTTTATATCCTCTATGGTGATTAAAAAAAATCTCCACCTGCATCCCTGGCATTTTACAGCAACCACCTTTTAATATGCTTACCTATAGGTCCAGAAGTGTTCTTGTGTTTTTGCTTCGCTTGCCACAATGGATTGATCACGGATGAATAATTCCTCGTTTGTTGTCCTTCTGCATCAACTGAATGGCCACTCTGCTACTCCTGGTGCGCTCACCGTGGCCACCTGGGGGTAATATAAGACAGACAGACGGCCATCGTGTTCATTGAGACATCTCAACACGGCTTGGCTCATCGGTGCGGCACTAATTTTAGCCATACTTTGCAGAAGATAAAGAATATGACTGACCACTGTCTGTCTACGCCTGGCGCGCCACCATTTGTGTTCACCAGTTGCTTGAAGGGACATAGTTGCTATTTAGCATTAGCATTAAGCTACCAGACTTAAAAGCTATGCTGCGTGGTGGTTTTGAGGTGCATTTTTCTCTTTATGTGTATCTATGTATTTCCATATAAACACATGCTTTCAAAGGAATTCAGGAGAGTAAACCACTTCACCATCGGTCATCATAAATAACACATGAAATGACATTTTGAATGGAACGCCTTAGCAGCCGATACGGTGACTCGGACAAGACCGTGTTTATGATTTACTTCGGTCATCAGAACAAGGTTTGTGCAAATGTAACAGGGCAGTAACACTGTGCCGGGGTTCTAAACTGGAGTGGAAGCGGTGACAACAAAAACAAAGTATGGTTTGTAGCAGAGTCGGGGCGTTTATGAGGCTTGTGGAGTGCAGTAGAGAAGGAATGGCTGGAAGCGAGCTCAGGGCGGAGTGGCGGGATGGCACCACTCCAGACATCCATCTCCAATCTTAGGGTCAAAGTGACTGGGTTGATGAGCCCAGCCCTTTCCCATCACAACTCACCCCCGAGACAAAGTGACATCTCTGAGCTTACCACAACACAAGAGGAAAACGGTCCGGAGGAGTTTTTAAATCCCCAAACTTGCAAAGGTTATGGAAAGCTTTTAAACAGACATTTACTGTTCAGAGACGGCTTGAAGTCATGACATTTGTTCTCGTAGCTAGTGAAGAGTATAATATGCACATGGGTCGATTTTGTATTCTAACGCAGAAGAAGAGAGACCTTTAATTGAACAAGCCCCTTGCTCTCAAACTTTCCCCCGACGCTGGCGAGCGGTTGTTTAACTTGAAGCCACTGCAGTCAATCCAAAAGGGACTGCGGTAATTAGCGAAGCCGGGGGCGAAAGCACTAAGGCAGGAGTTACTGATTGGATAGGGAGTGTTCCCCCATCTCAGAATGTATCGTGTTACAGTTTCATCATCACATTTGACTGTACGTCTTGATTTGTGAGCATGGTTTGTTGTGGATTAATTATGTTGTGTTTAAGGGAAAAAAATTGCAGCAGAAGTGAACTGGCTGGCAAGACAGAGTCATTTTACTTTACAATGTCTGTCGTTCCGCAACAAAAGTCATTCATTGGCATTTACTGTGGGCATATTGCAACACACAGAAAGACAAATGGGGGTGAGGCGTTACTTGAACAATGACTTGCCGTTTGCAGTGGTGTAGAATTGGACTGCATCGTACTTGTTGAGTTGTGTCTAATATTTTTGGGTCACTGATCCAAACTGCGGCGCGGCTAAACTTACAGTCGGCGGAACTTTGGAGAAATCTGACGATCATAATTTTGGACCCCGGATACGACAAGCATCCAGCGCTATTACTGTTATTGTTCTTTTCATATTGATAGATTAAGGACGAGCGCGCCCAGGAGCAACCACAAAATTATTGGCTCTACAATGAACAATAGTCCTTGTAAATTGTTGCCACACCATCATCATCATCATCATGTGTCAGCCATAAGTCTGGCAAAAATCCACATTGTATCAAAGTTGAAAACTTTCCATCGAAATTTACCAAAACAAACAGAAACGTCAAACTGCATTTTGGTTGTTCAAACAAATAACTTTGACAGGAAGTTCCTCCCCGACAGTGATAATGTACTGTATTCCAAATGTTGCTCATTTCCAAAATTCAAAAGCTTCCAATCATAGCCCCCGTAACTAATTGACGCAACGAGCGTATGCTGTCAAAGAGAAATAGCACGCCACTCATGCCAATGACAATTGTGACGGTAAGGTTAATTGCGGGGTGCTTGTTAATTTGTTCCCCAGTAGCCGCTCTCTGCAAGTCATAAATCTCCTCCAAGCGGGCGCAGTACAACTCCGGGCTTAGTTGCTGCTGTTTCAGAACCCCCGAAGCTGATGCCAAGTCTGGACTTGCCCGCGCGAGGTTCACTTGTCAATCCGGCAAGCTCATCCAGACAATGTGGCGTTTATTTGACTCATCCAACAACATGTCCTGAGAGTGACATACCTTGCGCGTTCATCATCCCAAGAAAATATTCACTCCAATTAATCTTGTTGTGTAACATCGGCACAGATAGGACTCCCAATTTCATGCCCAAAGATAGTGTCGTGCGAGGTGTGCTATAAATCTGTGTGGAGGTGGGCTGGACTGGATTTTGGGATTTTCGCTGGCGCACACAATTTGGTGCATTTAGAAACAGGCGTTTTGCGCTGTTGTGGGTGTGAACACTGCCGATTTGATTCATGGCATTTCGAACGGTATTTATTAAATCCAAAGGGTTGGCTCAAAAGATGAATCTACAAAACAACCCATCTTTTGGGATTTTGTGGGGACCACCTTGTGTAGGGTTTGGATGTTTTTTTGTTTTCTTTCACTGCCGCAATTTCCGACGATGCGTACATCCCATTTTTTATATTGCATGCACTCTTACTGTCCCTAGCGACACTGTGTTGTGCTCGTTAACGCTTCATAACTGCACTCCAAGTGGAAGTGGAGAGGCCGAAGAGTTTGTTTAAGAGGCGAATAATGACTGACTACCCTCTACAGAGCGAAATCTAAACTGCTGACCCATGACAGGCTGCTCTCAGACCGTGAGAAATGGGCCTCTTTCCATGCCAAGAACGCGGGTGGCCGGCTGCGTGTATCTGAGGAGCGCGACCGGTTACGGCACCGACGAGCAACCGCAGGGTTTCGATGTTCGATTTTTCTCACAGCTTGTGTGCAAATGTGTATGTGGGTGGATGGGAGACTGAGAATGGCACCGGGCGGCTGCGTAGGAGCTCCGAGAGGTAAGGTGGGGGGCAGGCCATTTTAAGATTGCAAAACAAATAATAGGATCTTCAAAAGAACTCTAAAATGCGCAGGGAGCCAATGAAGGGACGCCAGATTAGGAGTGATGTGCTCCCTCTTACAAGTAGCAGTCAAGAGGCGAGCAGCAGCAGCATTTTGGACCCACTGGAGATGCTTCGTTGATGATTGGCTGACTCCAAAGTCAAATGCATGACAGTCATCCAGCCGAGATGTGACGAAGGCGGGAATGACCGTTTCCAAGTGTTTTTGAAAAAGGAGGCTTGACTCGGGCCAGCAGCCGTCGATGAAAGAAGCTGGACTGAACAACGGCACCCATTTGACGGTCCAATTTCAAGTCACTGTCCAGATCCAGATTCCTTTTGCCATTCAGTCTCCGCTCTGTATTAAATCTACAATTAGAAAGAAAAAAGGGTGGCATCTGACGATGCAGAGTCGCCACTGTCGTCGTGAAGTTGCTGGCAATGTTACGAAATTATCATCATACTGCAAAGCTGACTCATGAGCCTGACATTTGTACAGTAGTGTATTGAGCGCCCCAAGCTAACCGCTGCTGGCGGCTCCACTGCTTAAGTGTGTCAAGGCATTGTGTAACACAATGAATAGTCATTGTGGAGAAGAGAGCGCGCCGTGCTCTCGGCTTTCCGTTCACACTTGAAGGGGATTTTGGCTCTGCGGACTTCAAACCGCTGAGTCAAAGGGTCAGGCGATGTGCGAGATAGCAGCGATTTGTGCGAGGGTTAGTGAGTCACGGCGCAGTGGCGACACTCGAGACGCCATGTGTTTCCACGCGCTTCACCGAGGGACAAATGTGCCATCGGTTTGTTTCACAAGTGTCGGTCGGCTCGCTGACTGGGGCCACGTGAGCGGGAGACGTGGTCAACAGAAACGATTGTGCTAAAGTACAACATCAAGAATAATGGAAGAAAACGACTGTCGAGTCACAGTGTCTGATACGGTGATAGGGACCGGGCCAAGCGTCGAGAATGTACGTACCACGTCACATGCCAACTCGAGTAAAGACACACACATACACACGTGACTGGTGAAATAAAATCAAAAAATGTGGGACAATGTCAGTACGGTCTGTGGGACCGAAAGGTATACAACACAGGCAGTTTCCTTCAACAGCCGGGACGACCAGAGAAAAGGAGCGGCCTCGGAGAACGGGAGCAGAGATTGAGCGGCCAACACAAACGCAGCATGCACAGGAGGTCAACAATCGGGTTTTCTGACTTTGGTGATCACGTAACATGTGGGGGATTATTTGTCAGTGTGGTGATTGAAATTTTATGTAACAAAGGTTGGAAAGGTTCAACGATGAATTGGCGGCTGCGCCCGTTACCCGCACTATCGGTGAGTACTTAAGGGTGAATACTGGTAGTACTGGTATCGGTCTGAAAAAAAGTAGCATCGAAATTACCACTGATAAGAAAAAAAGTACATGTACATAGATATAAGGAAATGTGACCATTAAAAGTCTTTATCCTTATGTATCTAGCTAGGAAACTAGATCACAGTTTTTATTTTCAACGAACCTTTATTACACATCAGTTACTGCGCTGGATGGATTGCTTCGGTTTGGCAACATAGAAACGGGGAGAAAAATGCAGTATTCAATTGAGCCGAGATGCTGATGAAGAAAAGTTCAAGTCCATCACAGAATCGAGACTCCTCCCACCATGAGCACAACTTTTGGAAAGTGGAAGAGAAAAAAAAAGAAAAGGCTTCCTCTCGCGATAGTACCTTGCTTATACAGCCGCCATATTGTGTGACAGTATTATGATTCGTATCTACTGGAAGTGAGGAAAAAGAGAAAAGTGAAGGGCTGTCGAGGGGAGGGGAGGGGGGCTAAAAGAAGAAGAGCTGTCAAAAAGGTATTGCCGTGTCTGTCTCAAAGCGGAGGGCTGGGGCTCGCTTCCCCCCCCCCCTCCCCCGGCCCCCCCCCTCCCCGAGCGTTATTTCGAGGACACATTAAGGCCCGGGGCCTCGGAAGCAACTTCGCTTTTCGTCTGCCCGATACTGGTCGGACCTTTCCCGGGTTCTCCTGTGCCAGCGCCCCGGCCCTCTGGAGGTCCGGCGGCGTTCAGGGCTGTCGAACGCGACCAGAGGAGAGGCGGCGGAGACGGCGAAAGTCCAAGTAAGTTGGCCGCAACAACTTTTTTTTTTTTCTTTTTTTTTTTTTTTTTTTTTTACCTGTTAGCACACACCCCTGTACTATGAACAACAATACTGCTATTCCTTGATGTGCAGTTTAGAAATACTTTCGCTACATTTCAGCGATCAGCGCTACTAACTTGCTGAATTTGTTCAAGGAAAGAAAAAAAGCGAGAAAACTTGAGAGGTGCGGAAAAAGTTTGTGTGTAACGTTCCAGTAGTCGGCTAGCTACGTTAGCCAACTCACTTTTTGAAGTGGGAGGCTCGCAGCCAAGAGGCGAGCTAGTTAGTGTTGCTCACTTCATGTCGTGCATCTTTTCAAATGCGAACGTTCCCCTAATGTTGCGGGTCGTTAGGCCGTCTGAGGCGACACTTTTTTCCCCCCCATCGAGCTCAGTGTCTGAATGGATGGAAAGGTTCAACGATGAATTGGCGGCTGCGCCCGTTACCCGCACTGCCGAACGACGCTCCTCCTCCGTAATTCATTAGCCATTTATTAACGGCGACACTCGTTTCATTCGATGCACGCCGCGGCTGTCTTGAATGGTGTGCTCACATGTTGTTTTGACCGTTTGTGCATGTGAAGACCGAGATAGGGGGAGGAAAAAAGTATCACCTCACACCTGCTTGCATGAAAGACAAGTCACAGCCTGGTCTCAGTGCTCTCAGATGGAGATTTGACCAAAGACTGAATTTGGCAAGGTGACATTATTTCCTGCTTTGCTTCTGAATGGCATTGGCCGCTGTGCTTGGAAATGAGAAAAGACACAGCGCGAGAAGGTTGCGTCTTTGCTTGTGTTAAGCACACCGAGTTGCCTTGGATACGAAATGTACGATATCAAACAAAGCTATTCACAAGACTTCAACGTGGCATTGGCCGCTGTGCTTGGAAATGAGAAAAGACCCATGACAAAGGAAAAGACACAGCGCGAGAAGTTTGCGTCTTTGCTTGTGTGAAGCACGCCGAGTTGCCTTGGATACGAAATGTACGATATCAATCAAACCTAATCACAAGACTTCAACTAAAGATTCTTTCGGCAATTCAACCCGTCATCCTCGATCACATTTACGCCACCGTTCATGCCCATCTTGCGGTTGTTTGCAAAGTTCCTGTTTCCCGTTTTGTTAGAGCTTACCTATTGGTTGTCGGTCGTGTCACGTCACCGCAAAAGTCAAAGACTTGTCGCGATATCAAACGCGTTGGATCGTGTCGTAAGGCCAAGACTAGGAAGACTGATCGAAAACAACGGAGACACTCTATGATCGAGATGGTGAGAACGTGCTGTGACTCCAGTAAAGCGCTTACGCTTCCTTCTGGCTTTCAGTTTTTTGTGAAGTCTTTAAAAACTACGCAATGAGATTCACTGTAAATGCCGCGTTGGATTACACCGTTTGCACTCGCAAACAATAAAGATGCCCGAGACTCCGATTTTTGTCATGCAATAACTCAGTAGGTGTCAAAGAATTCATTCTTCCGGCGAATTGCCTTTTCTTTGTTATTTATTCCAAAAGACAGACCGCCATCACACATGACGTCCGCAGAAGAAAGTGGGCCCGGGCCCGACTAGAATACAATCAGTCCAGTCCTGAGCACAAACAAAACATCTCCACCTCCACTAGCAAAACAAGAACAATCTGTACTAAGCCGACCTTGACGCAGAGCGCAACGTGGAGCGACCTCACAGGATTTTCAACAGGCATTGCGAATTGGGTTCTTTCAGCCGCTGGGGGGCAGTGCCCTCCCCTGGGGGTGCACTGTTCCCCAGTGCCGGTCCCAAGCCCGGAGAAATGGGGAGGGTTGCGTCAGGAATGGCATCCGGCGTAAAACTTTTGCCTAGACGACCATGCGAGTTGGTAGGACGGTTTACAGGGGCGGATGGAAATTACTGACTCGCTGTGGCGACCCCTGAATAGGGATGTGCCGAAAGGAGAAGAAGAAGAAGAAGATTGCGAATTGGGTTCTTTGTCACCCTTTTAGTCATGACTGGTGTCTTTGCACTATTGGAAGTCTGGAAAAGCTCCAGCATCCATTTTTCAAGACCACTTCTCCTCGCAAGGGTCGCGGGTGCGCTGTGGCTTCTCCCGGCCGACTTCTGGCAAGCGGCGGCAGACGGATTCCGGTCGGCAGCTAATTGCAGGGCGCAAAGGGAGACACGAGGGCTGTAACGATACACCATCACGCCGATAGGTCTTAATGTGTCATTCCATCAAGAAAACAATCACGATTGTATAGCGAGCAATAGAACGCCAAAACGTGGGATTGAATGAATCACAGCTGAAATAAAAAAACAAATCAGCTGCCACTCGAAACTCAGGTTGATTTTTCGGGGTCTCCAACGTAAACAATACATGATTACGTTATTAGGAAGCGTCTTTCTTCATGAAACGTAGAGCGACGAGTCCAAGCAGCCAACGCTGGCGAGCCAGTGGGCACACATTTGCTTGTTAGCAAATCAGATCCACCGGTTGGATTTCAAATTGAAGCAAAGTCACCTGACCGCTTGCTCTTTGAACTCTTGCAGCTTCGCCAGGATTTGCTCCTGGAGTTCTTTTGCCGATATTATTCTTTCCATATTGTTGCTGACGCTTATTTCATGACTCTTGACGATGATGGATCGATTTTGAGATGCTCCGATGAGCTTGCCGTATTACGTTAGCGCGTGCGTGACTCTGTTCGTTTATCGTCGAGGTTCTTTGCGCGGCGCGGTGGAAACCCGTGGCTTCGTTTTAATGCAAGTGAAATCTCTTTGGCCGACCACCGTCTCTTTTGGAACTCCTAACTAAGAATAATCACCGATACCGTGTTTCAGAATTGGTTCCGCTGCGGGTTGAAGTCGACTATTTCACGTGCGTGTGTCTCAGTTTGCATCCGGAGGAAAAAGAGAAGTGCCGCTCACGGTCACCTCTTTTATTTCCTGAAAAAACACACACACACACACACACACGCACACGCACACGCACACGCACACGCACACACACACACACGCACACACACTTATACGCACAATTGAGTCCACCACAACGAGCGTGACTAAGACACAATACTCCGAGTATAAATGCACAGGAAGTGAGTCAAAATACTTTTAACAGCATATCAACTGTTATGACCAGAGATGCCTACTGCCTACAGCCGCTTTTAATATATATATGTATATATATATGTGTATATATATATATATATATATATATATATATATATATATATATGAATGAACCTCTTTGGCTGATGAGCCAAGCCAAAGTTTTAAAAAGAAACACAAACAGCAACTGTGCTCAGCGACAGTAGTTGACAGTTTGCGAGCATCCCCGGTTCACTTGAGAGCACCATCGGGGGTTGTTGTAGTTGCTGTTATGAATCCAGAATGCAGCCATTTTTTCCCCTCTATATTAATGCAGTCCAATCTCGTTCCCACGCACCTCGAGGGAGATCACAAATCCTGACGTTAGTCCGGTAGTTAATTGCACTGTATCGGTTGAGATTGATTGATGGCCGCTCGTTGGCAACAAGGCAGACCGCTGAAATCGTCCACGCGGCAAACTAAAGCGAGGTGCCTCAGAAGCGCGTGGCAGTATTTGACCAACAATAAGAGATGTGGCACTTGCAAAAAATGCGAGTCTATCCCCAAGTGTCACCAAAAATACAAGTGATGCGCACATTTAACCGAATAGGCACTTGCTAACTCTGGATGACGAGTGGCTTTGAATTCTTTTTTTTTTTTTTCTTCTTCTTTACAGTGGGTCAGTGATTTTGAGATTTGGGTTGTGCAGAGGAAGACTTTACGTCGTCATCGATAGAACAAAGGGAATCACGGTTCGTACGGTGTACGTCGGTATTTTGTCGTAAAGCGTCTCTTTTCACTGGCTATTTCGACAGCGCTGACTTAGTGAGTCGTTTTCAAAACAAAAGCGTCACAAGCCAAGAGTAGAGTTGCAACAGCTGCTTTGCAAACGTACATTGCAGTCTGAATGTCGCCGAGGCGTTTCAATGCCCCGCGGTTATAAAAGCTTGCAACAGTCACAAAAAGGAATTATTTGAACAAATCACTAACATGCTGTTGAACACGACAATCACTATTTAGTGGAAAGAAAACATGTCGAGCAGCGGGGCTGCAAAAAGCACTTTGGAGGTGAGATGCGCATTTCTTCAAGCTTGCCGCTGACATTTTTAATGATTGACGGCACTTTGTTCCAATGTCATCCCTCCGTCACTCTCCAGGCGTAACCGCTTGACGCAAGATTAAAAAAAAAAAAAAAAAAAAACGCCGTCCGTGTAACGGTTGCATCCGATGTAAATGGATTAGTTGGGCCTCCAGTGAAACCTTCAGCCGCTCCGGTCGTAGCAACAACGCGAACGCAACGTGTACGCCAGCTTGGGCTGCGCGAGTATCCGTTTTCCAACCTCGCTCCTCAGAGCCTTCAAAGCCGCCGCCGACACGGCCCGTGCCCCCGTCACACGGCGATGACGTGGCTTCAAAGCCCGAGGAGGCGGGGCTGGGACAGTTTATCATTAAATGATCACAGCACGACATTGGGAGTCGCAGGTGCCTCTCGCCAAAGTGCGGCGAGAATGCCCGTTGAGGGTTCCAAACCAGCTCAGTGAGGTAGAAAGGTGCAAAGTCACGTTGACGCAGCCTCAATCGCTCGGAAATTAATTGGAAGTCATTTCTCCAGGACCGTTGCCAGAAGTTTGAAAGGGCGGAGCTTATCGAGACTGCGCTATCCAAACATTCAGCCCCCGGGGGCTCGATACCCATCCCGAGCCGCAACCTGCTTCCTTTTTTTAGCTGATCGAGCATCACCGTCGTGCTGCCGTGAAAGGTACGTTCGCATCCTGTCAAGTCTTTTTGGGCTAACTTTCAGACTGCCGCTCCACGTTGGTTCGCCATGACGCCGCATTACCCGCCGTGCTCCCGTTTACATTACGGATGACCCCCGGATTACCGCCATTGCTCATTTTGTTTTGAAAAAACAAAATGTTTTTATGGAGTTTTTTGGAACAGATGAATGGCATTCCATTCGTTTCGGGGGGGGGGGGGGAGAGCATTTTGAGACGCGAGTGGCATACGTTATGGGCGTGGCCACGGAATCAATGAAACTAGTCAAGGTACCGCCGCGCATACTGTATGTTCTCGCGTGCATGCAACAAATAGTCAAGCCACGACACGTCTTGAGAGCGGAGGAGCCGCAGACCCCATCGGCACGGAAAGCGACGTTAGAAGCCATCCGGGCGACAAACGCATTCGTTTGCCAAAAGGAAATGGATGGCAAGAAATTGCAACATCCACCAAATATTGTTGTCAAAGTAGTCAAGAAGGGAACAGAAATGTATTCCCCAAAAGAAAATGCACATCGATTCAAGGTGCATCCGGATGTCATTGTATTCCCTCCACCATAGTAGTTAACACATTTTTTTTTTTTTTTTTTAATCTCCCGTAAATCACATTGATGACCCGAAGAGCGCGTTCTTCCGCTGAATTCTTCAGCGGAATCAATTCTCTCCAAATAGCATTAGCCCCCCCTCTCTTGAAATCAGACGGGGCGGAATCATTCGAGCGCCAACGTCTCATGCTAATGAAGTCTTTTTCAAGTTTGGCTTTCCTTTGGGCTATGAAATCGGATCGTCGCGCAACCGTCAATTAAGGGAACATTGCGGAGTTCTCTGCTGGCTGGCTTTGCATGTAGCACTTTAGCTAATTGGAAGCAGAGTACGCGGCGCGTTCTGAGAGACGCCAGCGCTTTCGCCCCTTTGACTTTGTGAGTGGCAGCGTCGATTCCCGCGCGGCCTTTTTTTCGAGTTTTGTTTGACAACGGAAATCCAGCCGCCCTGGATTCAGAGCGCGGTCCTGGCACCGCCACAAGTTGGAGCCAACTTTGCTTCCACTTGAAACCGGTGCGAGTTGGCGCTAAGCTCACAAACTCTCATTTCTTTATTTATTTTTTTTTAAATGATTGTGGGGGTTCTTTTCTGGGGTCCTCGCCTCTTAACATCGCCATACGAACGTGACTAAAGAGCTTTGAGATTTATGTTCCTCAATCTTTTTTTTTTTTTTTTTTTTTAATAGGTCAAATGTCAAAGCAGCCACTTTGTCATCATGTTCTTCCACATCACTCGACGGCTGTTTTGAAATTTGAAGGTCAAATTTCACACTGGCTCCGTCAAACTTTTCCTTGTCCTCGACCCACTTTCACACGTGCACATTGCAGCTTGACTCTGACAAACAACTAAGAATGACAAGAGCTCATCGGCCTTTCATCCAAAAATCCTCCGCATATCCACTTCTGCGACAACCTGAGTGACGGCAAACAGGAATATGGTGACGTCCTTCTCTT